ATACCACTAAAGATTTCAGATAGGCCCACCCACATTGATGCAATGGTCAAGAAGGCAGAACAACACCTCTACTTCCTCAGGAGGCTCAGGAAGTTTGGCATGTCCACAAGAACTCTTACCGATTTTTGTAGATGCACCATAGAAAGCATCTAATCCAGATGCATCACAGCTTGGTATGGCAACTGCTCTGCCCAGGACCATAAGAAATTACAGAGAGTTGTGATCACAGTCCAGTCCATCACACAAACCAGCCTCCCATCCATTGACTCCATCTATATCTTTCGCTGCCTGGGGAGGCAGCCAAGATCAAAGACCCCTCCCACCCCATTTATAATCTCTTCCATCAGGCAGAAGATACAAAACACATGTGCCTACGGGTTCAAGAACAGCTTTTTCCCTGCTGTTATTAGACTTCTGAATGCACCTCTCAAATTTTAAATTTAACGTTGGTCTCACTCTTAGTCCACAAAAAAAAACCAAAAGAACTGTGGATGCTGTAAATCAGGAACAAAAACAGAAGTTGCTGGAAAAGCTCAGCAGGTCTGGCAACATCTGTGAAGAAAAATCAGAGTTACATTTCGGGCCCAGTGACCCTTCCTCAGAACTGATGGTATCGAGGAAAATGTTGGTTTTTATGCAGCAGATGCAGGGGGAGGGGGTAAGGTGTAAACAATAGATGGGGTTAGAGTCCAAAGAGAAGAACAGTTGGACAGACAAAAAAAAACAGTTGATAACGATCTGACTAGGAGAGTGAATAGCCATTAATAGGGACTGTTAGTGACTAACAACAGGGGGTGTGTAATGGCAGGTTATGTGGTAACAAGACCTGGTGTGTGGGGTGGGGGCTGGGGCATGGGAGAGTTTAGGCCCTAAAATTATTGAACTCAATATTGAGTCCGGGGGGCTGCAAGGTCCCCAAGTGGAAAATGAGGTGTTGTTCCTCCAGCTTGCACGGAGCTTCACTGGCATTGGATACACTGTTAGTGCTTCAAGTTAACAAAGCACTGAGATTGGATGGGATGCCAACGATACTAAAGGAAGTGAGTGTGGAAATTAGAGGCAGAGACAACAACTGTTCAATCTTCCCTCGATTCAGAGGAGGCCAGAGAACTGGAGAATTGCAAACACTGTCCTTGTTCAAAAAAAATGGTTGTACAGATGGACCATCAATTACAGGCCAGTCAGTTTAACTTTGGTAGTGGAAAACTTAAAAAAAAATACAATTATTCAGGATAATATTAGTAACTGTATGGAAAAATGTTGGTATATTCGAAAGAGTCAGTGTGGATTTGAGGGAAAATTGCATCCAACTAACGGGTTTTTTTTTGAAGAGGTAACAGAGAGGACGGGTGACGACAAGGCTGTTGCCATAGTGTACACAGATTTTCAGAAGGTTTACAATAGACTTATAGAGTCATACTGCACAGAAATAGGCCCTTTGGTCCAAATCGTCCATGCTGAACAGATATCCTAAATTAATCTAGTCCCATTTGTCAGCATTTGGCCCCTATCCCTCTAAACCCTTCCTATTCATGTACCCATCCAGATGCCTTTTAAATATTGTAATTGTACCAGCCTCCACCCCTCCCTCTGGCAGCTCATTCCATACACACATCACCCTCTGTGAATAGGTTGCCTCTTAGATCCCTTTTAAATCTTTCCCCTCTCACTTAAACCTATGCCCTCTAGTTTTGGTCTCCCCTATCCTGGGGAAAAGACATTGGCTATTCACCCTATCCATGCCCCTCATGATTTTATAAATCTTCCTTCTGGAAATATTCACAAATTAGTAAGAAACATTACAGATAGTGGAATAAACAGGACAGTAGCAATACTGATACAAAATTGGCTGAGCAACAGGAAACAGGTTAATGGTTAATGAATTTTTTTGGGGCTGAAATACTTGTAGTGGAATTTCCCCAGGGGTCAATCTTGGGACCCTTGCTTTTCCAGGTATATATCAATGATCTAGATATTAGTGCGCAGGGAACAATTCCAAAGTTGTGGATAACACAAAATTCTGGAGAATTGTAAACTGTGAGATGACAGTGTAGAACTTCAAAAGGACATTGACACATTGGTAAAGCGGGAGGATAGGTGGCAGATTAAGTTAGGAGTTGGGACATCATGTTGAGGTTGTATGGGATGTTGGTCAAGCATCTTCTGGAATACTGTGTGCAGTTCTGATTGTCCTGTCACAGGAAAGATATTAAACTGGAGTGGGTTCAGAAAAGATTTACCAGAATGTTACTGGGAATGGAGGGTTTGAGATAAGGAAGAGGCTGGATCGACTGGGCCTTTTTTTCACTGGAGTAGGATGTTGAGTGATGACCTTACAGAGGTTGAAAAAAATCATGAGGGACACAGATAGGGTGAATGGCAGGTGTCTTTTCCCTGGAATTAGGGATTTCAAGACTAGGTGACATATTTTTAAGGTGAGAGGAGAAAGATTTTTAAAAATACAAGGGACAATGCTTTTCACACAGAATGGTTTGCACGTGGAATGAACTTCCAGAGAAGTAGTGGATGTGGGTATAGTTATAACATTTAAAAGACATTTGGATAAGTGTATGAATAAGAAACGTTTGGAAGGATATGGGCCAAGCGCAGGCAGGTGGGACTAGTTTAGTTTGGGATTATGGTCAGCATGGACTGGTTGGACCGAAGGGTCCATTTCCACGCTGTATGACTCTGCGACTCTAAGTGCGAGGTGACACACTTTAGCACAAGGCATGTGGAGAGATGGTGTAAAATAAAGTGCACTATTCCAAGGGTGTACAGCAGCAGAGGAATCTGGGTGTATTTGTAAATCAAAGGTGGCAGGACAAGAGCTGTTAATACAGCATTTAGTATTCTGGGATTCAGGGCAGAGGGTATAATGGCACAACTGAAGTTTTCCCCCACTTTCATCAGTGCTACAAGTACATGAATGGAAAAGTGGAGCAGGGCCAGTTTGCTTAGAATAAGCTGCGACTCTCTGAATCCAATCCACTTTGATGCTTCACTAATATTTTCACTATTAGACAACGATTACAGTATCTGGTGTTTTTCCTAGAAGTGCAGCACGATGCACATCCGAACTCGGTCTCTAAAACAGAATGAGTAGATTAGACCTTCGACGCGTGTGATTTCAGAACATTGCCAGAAGCCAAATGCTGTTGGAACAGTTCGGAAATAATTGATGGTCTCAAAGCTGTGGCATTACTTATTGCATACATTAGTCACTTTAAAAATAAGGCAGGCCAGGCACACTGAAGCAGATTTATGAGAATGTTAAGTTCTATGGTACATATGGGGCTAGATTCCCAGCACAATCCAATTTTAAAGGAGAACAGGAGTGGGAGAAATATACATATGGGATATACATGTACAGTAAGCAACTCAGGGCAAAATTACAATTGAAAAAGCAGCCAATACAAAATAAACAAGCTCACGACACAGCATCCCCTTGGGGTTTTTATTAGAACTAGATGCTAATGTCACTGGTAAGGACAGCACTATTGTCCTTAAAGGACAGAATGTTCCTTCCATTATTTTAATTAAGGGCCAAACTTCATTTTAAGCTTCTAACACCTCTTTTAAAATAGCAGAGAGTTACTTGATAAAAGAAAATACATTGAAGTGACTAATTGTTTGTGTTCTGTCCCATAGAATCATAGAACTATACAGTACAGAAGAGCCCTTTTGGCCCATCAAGTCTGTACTGCCAAAAATATACCACTACAGATCATTTCCTGTATCAGACCCATTGCCTTCAGTGTTATATCACATTGAGCACTCATCCAAGTACTTTTTAAAGGTTATGAGGTTTCCTGCCTCAACTACCCTCCCTGGCAGTGCATTCCAGACCCCCCCATCACCCTCTGGGCAAAAAGGCTTTACCTCCAATACCTTGTAAACCCTCCTGCCTTTCAATTTAAAATCATGCCCCCTTGTTATCAACCCAAAGAAATGGGAACAGCTGCTTTCTGTCTGCCCTGTCCATAACCCTCAATCTTACACACCTACATCAGATCCCCCCTCAACCTTCTCTTCTCCAAAGAAAACAACCTGAGCTTATCCAGCCTCTCTTCATTGCTGAAATGCTCTGTCTCTGGCAACATTCTATTGAAGAGTCACCGGACTTGAAAGGCTAACTCTGCTTTCTTCCCAAAATTGCTGCCGTATCTGCTGACATTCTCCAGCAATTGCTGTTTGTGTGTCAGATCTCCAGCATCCATGGTTCTTTGTTTTAACAACATTCTGGTGAATCTCCTCTGCATCCTCTCTAGTGTAACCATATCTGTCCTATAGTGTGGTGACCAGAACTGCACACAGTACTCTGGTTGTGGCCTATCCAAAGTTCTGTACAGTTCCAGCATGACCTCTCAGTTATTACATCTTTAAGAAACATGCTCATGATAGTAACATTGTATGGTACCATGTGACCTCAGGGGATAGGGATCTCACACTCCATCTTAAAATCAGGCCACTTGAAACATGACATGATACTTTTTAACTGAATAGTCTAATACTAGCCCAAACAGTGTTTGTGTATCAAGCGTTTGTCTATAAATAATAAGGTGTAATAAACCGTTCTGTTTGTTTCTTCAATATTGTGTGATCCACATCTATTTCTTCCGATTCAAGGGATAACATAAGCATTGCTGCATCGGGTAAAGATATCATCTGGAGGCAAAACACACATCATCTGGAGAAAGGCCGCTGTAGTCCGCACTTACCACTGCAATAAAAATGGATGGGTATTTGCATTCCCAATCCAGCCGTACCCATCATTTTAGCTTTCAAGCCCCTGCACACATTCATCGGTTCAGTCAATAAAGCTCTAAATTAATTTAGAACTCCAAAATCATTTGCAAGCAATTAATAAAGCTATGCTCATTTGCAGAAAACCCTTAATCTAACATCCACTCGCTCAGATTTTCAGTGTAAATATTTGCTCAGTTAATGGGATACATTATTCTGATTCTCAATATTTTAACTGCAGTTGACAGACTCACCCAAACTGTCTTCAACTTTGTATTTGCCGGGTTCCCCACCAGCATCTCCTCCTTTCGTGGTGGAAACAGCAGCTTTAAACGCCATCACGATGTCATGCAACAGCCTGAAGGTCAACTTGTCCTGCAAATTGGAGAGATTCAGGGCATCTTCAAAACATAGAAATGCACAAGACCCCAGTATCGGTGGTTATACGGCAGCTAAGGATGTAAAACGATCACAAACCAGAAATGCTGGAGAAACTCAGCACGTCTGGCAGCATCTGGGGAGAGAAAGCAGAGTTAACGTTCCAGGTCAAAAACTGCAGAAGGGTCACTGGACTCGAAACGTTAACTCTGTTTCTCTCTCCACGGATGATGCCAGACCTGCTGAGTTTCTCCAGCAACTTCGGTTTCATAGAACACAGAACAGCACAGTACAGGCCCTTCGGCCCATGATGCTATACCGACCTATTATCCTACTAAGATCAAATTTCTGTTTCAGATTTTCAGCTTCCACAGTTTTTGATTCTTATGTAAAATGACCATTTCACTTGACATCAACAGGTAAAGCTACAGTTTTGGGCGACGCGTGTATCCAATCCTAGTTTGGTGTTACAGGCAGAGATAAACACATGCCAACAAGAGCCTGAGCTACTGATGTCCCTTTCATGGCCTTGAGAAGATGCAACAAACAAACCTTCAATTAAAGCTTAATTTTTCCATGGCAAACTTTAAAAGCACTTTAAAATATTATTCATTCACTGGATGAGGGCATTGCTGGCTAGGTCAGCATGTAATTGCCAGAAGGCAGCTAAGAGTCAACCACATTGCTTCCTCAATTAAAAAAGCTCCTCCAATTCGTCAATACCCCATTTTTTTTTTAATATTCATAGGATGAGGGCAATGCTGCCTAGGCATTAATTACCCAGAGGGCAGTTAGGAGTCAACCACATTGCTGTGGGTCTGGAGTCACATGTAGGCCAGACCAGGTAAGGATGGCAGTTTCCTTCCCTAAAGGACATCAGTGAACCAGATGGGTCTTTCCAACAATTGGCAATGGTTTCATGGTCATCATTCGACTCTTAATCCCAGGTTTTTATTGAAATCACATTCCACTATCTGCCGTGTTGGGATTTGAACCCGAGCCCCCAGACCATTACTTGGGCCTCTGGATTATCGGTTCAGCAATAATACCATTAGGCCAGTGCCTCCCTAGGCTGCAGTATATTGTAGAAAGGTTCCAGGTTCCATTTCTGGTCTGCCATGCGTTAACAGATCTCACTCAGTTAACAGCAGGAAAGCTGTATCTTCCCTCAATAACCCATCCCACAGCGCGAGGACGGGAGTTAAAAGGGCAGACAACTGTGGGCTTTTCAATCCTGACAGCTATGCAGTGACTCCTTTGGGAAAGGTATTTGGAAAGTTCCAATCACCAAAGAAGAAGCGAAGCTCAGCTGCATGACTATTTACAAAAGCGAAGACCAATAAATCAAACCCACTCAACTTATATCTAAAGAGGTGTCTCTTTGCTGAGATACACCCAGCCTCCATAAAAGTGCACCTCATGTCAAAGTCCAGAAGTAATTAGTGAGGAAAAAATATAAAAGGAATCAAACTCGGATCCACATGGGTCTAGTTCAGGTCACATTTTGCTATTTACAGTTAATTCTGTGTTAACAGTGGCGCTTCAAGAACGCTTTGTTCTTCTATTTGAAACACTCAGTCAGTTTGGAACAATGTTATTTATATAAAAAAAAAGTTTGCAATCCAGTTATGGCACTTTGTTTCAGATTCCAAACCATTTACAACTCAACTAAACATCCGCAGGGGCTGGATGAGACAATGCACTGACAAACTTTATTTTTCTTCAGTTACTGCGCTCCGTGTCAGGCTATCTTCAGCTGACATGCTACTGATCAGAAGTGATGTTACAGACTATGGAGTGCCCACCTCACAGGCAAAAATCGACAGCTACAGGTAAATCAGTGTAGGAACAAATTACTGTAGATGCCAGAATCTGAACTGAAAACAACAAATGCTGGAGATCACAGCAGGTCAGACAGCATCTGTGGAGAGACAGCAAGCTCACGTTTCGAGTCTACATGACTCTTCATCAGAGATTCAGCTTCGGCTCAGATGAAGAGTCATCTACACTCGAAACATTCGCTTGCTCTCTCTCCACAGATGCTGTCTGACCCGCTGTGATCTCCAGTATGTTGTTGTTTTCGGAGATGAATCAACCTTATTGCCTCGACAAGGTGATGGCAATATTTCCACAAAATACAGACTCTCCTTTCCACGAGGCATCTTGCTCTTACTGGGAGGTGGGGTACAGGTTTTAGTGGCGATAGCACCGACTGGCTCTTCAACTTTGTACTAGGCTTGCATAAAATGTTCAATGCTTGTTACAAACTTTCCAATCCAGTACTAAATCGCATTAGGGGGAAATCACAGAATCCCTACAGAATCAGGCCATTTGGCACATCGAGTCCACACCGACCCTCCAAAGAGCATCTCACCCAGACCCAAACTCCTACCCTATCCCTGTAACCCTGCATTTCCCATGGCTAACCCACCTCACCTGCACATCCCTGGACACTATGGACAATTTACCATGGCCAATCCACCCTAACCTGCACATCTTTTGTTAAGAATTACGAACACCAGAACTCTCACTGCCTTTTCCCCTCTGCTCCAACTGGTTTATAGCTTGCTCGCGGTACACAATGGTGGACATTAGATACAATTAGCAGTGAGAAACATTATTGGTAAAACGCACTTCGACCACAATCAGTGTAAGGTAAACTCTAATGTGTGTGTGAAAATATTCCAGGATTTTATTTCACACAGTGCCAAGAATAGCTGCTCACCCTTAACCACATCACACTCACAGAATCCCAACAGTGTGGATGCAGGCCATTCGGGTCATTGAGTCCACACCGGCCCTCCGAAGAGCAGCTTTGCCAGACCCAACCTGCTACCCTGTCCCTGTAACTCTGCATTTCCCATGGCTAACCCGCCTAGCCTGCACATCCCTGGATACTATGGGGAAATTTAGCATGGCTAATCCACCCTAACCTGCACATCTTTGGACTGTGGGAGGAAACTGAAGAACATGGAGGAAACCCAAATAGACACGGAGAGAATGTGCAAACTCTGCACACACTGACAGTCGCCAGAGGGTGGAATTGAACCTGGGTCCCTGGCACTGTGAGGCAGCAGTGCTAACCACTGAGCCATCCCATCTGTGGAAGACTGCAGTGTTTGTAATGTTAATGGTCTGGTTAGCTAGACAAAACGATCCAGAGATGCAAAGCTGAAATGTCACAATGACAGCCAGGGAATTTCACTTTGGGATTTTAGTTAAAGGGTCAGGTTGGAGAAGCTAGGGCTGTTTAAACTGTAGCAAAGGAGCTTGATGACAGAAACCAAACAAAAAAGTCTCCCAGAAACTCAGCTTTGGAGAAAGAAACAAAAAAGATAGCTAATGTTGAGTTCAATACAACCCATCTTCAGAACTTCAAAATTCTGTTCCAAAGAAGAGTGGTACTAGAGACTTAAAATATCTCTCCACAGATGATGCCAGACCTGCCGAGATTCTCCAGTATTTTCTGTTTTTATTTCAGATTTTCAGCACCCACAGTATTTCAATTTTATTGAAGTTTGAGGGGAGGTTTGATTAAGGTGTATAAAATTAAGAACAATTTAGATACTTTTCATTTGTACACACAGTCACATGCCAGTGAAGAAGTCAAACAGTATGTTGGCCTTCATAGTGACAGGCTTTGAGCACAGGAGCAGGGATGTCTTGGTGCAACTGTACAGCGATCTTAGTGAGACCACACCTGGAGTACTGTGTGCAGTTGTGCTCTCCTTATTGGAGGATGGATGTTCTGGCCATTGAGGGAGTGCAACAAAGGTTTAGCAGGCTGATTCCTGGGTTGGCAAGGTGGACACATGGAGAGACTCATCAGTTAGAACTATATCCACCGCAGTTTAGAATGAGAAGTGGGGGGTATTATCTCACACAAACCTACAAAATTCTAACAGGACTAGACGAGGTAAATGTAGGAAGGATGTTCCTGACGACTGGGGAGTCCAGAACCAGGGGGTTCACAGGCCCATTGGTGGACCATTTAGGACTAAGATGAGAAGAAATTTCTTCGCCCAGAGTGTCATGAGCCTTTGGAATTCACTGCTGCAGGAAGCAGTTGAGGCCAAAATATTGATTGCTTTTAAGAATAAGTTAGATATGGTTTATAATACTAAATGCATCAAAAGGTATGGGGAAGAGTGCAGGAATATGGGACTGCGTTGGATGATCAGTCATGATCATAGTGAATGGTGGAGCACGGTCAAAACAGCCGAATGGCCTACTCCTGCTCCTATTTTCTATACTTCTGTACGATAGACAAAAAAGTTCTTTCTTTCCATTAGCTGACAGCACAGGTTTAAACTGGACACAGTTGTAAGGCTTTAGGCAAAAGATGCACGGCTGAGGGAATGCAATAACATTTGAATACGGCAACACACACATACACACGCACACACACCCCGTGCTGGGGATGGCAGGAGCAGAAACGAGCAATGATTTGGAAAAAGACATTTGTTGGTTACAGGAGGGAACTAAGCATACAATCCCATAACAGGGGAAATGAGACTAATTGGGTTACTCTATAGAGAGCAGGAACAAACTCCTGGTGCCACACTAACTCAATGACAGCCACTGCAGAGAGATGAGGCATCAGCAGATTATATAATAATGCCACCATCACATGGTTTTTCAGGAAAACTAAGGGAAGAGAAACTCTGGGAGAGGTTCAATTCTAGCCTCAGGCAACTGTCTGTGTGGAGTTTGCACATTCTCCCCGTGTCTGCGTGGGTTTCCTCCGGATGCTCCGGTTTTCTCCCACAGTCCAAAGATGTGCAGGTTAGGGTGGATTGGCCGTGCTAAATTGCCCATAGTGTTCAGGGATGTTTAGGTTATATGGGTTAGGCATGGGAAATGCAGGGGTAGGGGAATGGGTCTGGGTGGGATGCTTTTCGGAGGGGCGGTGTGGACTTGTTGGGCCAAATGGCCTGTTTCCACACTGTAGGGACTCTATCACTGAGGTGTCACTAGAATGTGTGTGTCTACAACGCAGTAAAAATGAAAAGTTTCAATGGAAAGCAAATAGGAACAAATATCAGTATTTGGAGGACTCATTGCAGTTAGACCTGTACATATGATGAAACATACACCACGTGGACTTCAGTCATTCACAATTACCTAAGGGTAATTGGGAGCATGGAATAAATGCTGGCCCGGCCAGCGACACTGACCATCCAAGAACAAATAACTAACAGAGCAGTTCCCAAATGAGTCAGCAAGGTCGGAAGTGTAAATAACTGATAGAACCAACTCCCCAGTTAAAACTTGGTATTATAGCCAGCGATCAGATTAAATGAAGAGTGACTCAATCTTCTGCAGGAACTATGGAGCTCAATTTTATTAGGCACTTAAGTCAGGATATTTTACAGTACAATTTGAAGCTGAACACCACATCAAACAGACTTGTCCCCAAGGCCACATTCCAATAGGATTTACATTTATCAAGTAGCTTCCTGGCAATAATAATGTACATTCGCACACAACATTATTCAGCACTCAAAATACTCTCAAAACCAGTTGTTTTTAAGCCGTAAAATTCATAGCAGATATTGGATTACATCTAATTCATGCAGAAAATAAACAGCAAGAAACAACTCCACATAAAGTGCATTTGCCAGCAACAAAACCTCAATTTTGTTTTAAAGAAAAAAATGTAGTACATGCTCATAAGTTTAAGATGGACTGACCTCCGCTGCAGCTTTCCAATTCTCTACCATACGGGCAGTCACTGTTATTAAGTCCCCTGCTTTGCTCCGTTTTGTCGGCTGCTCTTCATCATCATCATCATCATCGCTGGCCAACTTTTATGTTGAAAAAAAAAAGCGAGAAAACACAAACAATTTCATTTTTTTTAAATTAAGACTTTTCACATTCCTTCCTATTTGTCAAAGACTTTAACAGTGCAGTGCTCCCTTCCTCAGTAGGTTTTAAGATCTTAAAAGGGACTGGAATTTGCACCTTCTCCCTATGTCTGCATGGGTTTCCTCCGGGTGCTCCGGTTTCCTCCCACTTGTGCAGGTTAGGGTGGATCGGCCGTGCTAAATTGCCCATAGTGTCCAAGGATGTGCAGGCTAGATGGATTAGACATGGGAAATGTAGGGTTACAGGGAAAGGGTAGGGGATTGGGTCTGGGTGGGATGCTTTTCGGAGGGTTGGTGTGGACTCGATGGGCCGAACGGCCTGCTTCCATGCTGCAGGAATTATATAAAAATCGATTTACAAAGGGAACACTGGTTTCTGCCCAAAATAACTTCAACCCTGGGCAATTTGTCATTAGGAACAACACTGATGGAAGTCAGATCACTCTTTTTGCTGCATTGTAAGTGTTGGTTCCATTCAAGCACGCACACGCTTTCTGTTGGGGGTGCTTTCGGTCAGATCCTAACCCGAACTCAAAGCCTTGCTTGAACCAGAGGTTTGAAGGCAAGGAGAAGGTCACCTCGAGTTCCTCTGGCAGTGTGTGCAGCGCATTTTCTTCATCTTCCGAACTGTCGGTGTCATCAAAATTCAGCAACTTCTGGTCGTTTTTCTCCAGGAACTCGAAAAACTCTGGGTCCTTCTCCTTTAAGCGCGAGAGCTGCTCTTTGTGTTCTTGGACGGAGCCTTTTCGCTTTGCCTTCCTGACGAGAGAAAAAGAAACAACCCCTTTTAACCTTCATCATTTTGGAGAAAGAAGGAAGGTCGGCTTTGTTCTGCAAAACAACTCGCAGTGTGAGGTCAAAGGCACCACTTCAGGCCCACGCGAAACAAGGACAGCGAGGGATCAATCAGACAGCGTCTCACCAAGTCACAAAAAAAGTTTAGAATTTGTTAAACGAAAAGGGATTAGGAGAGTTGGAAGTTGGCTACCTCAGACGGTTGGACAGCTGTTTTGCAATATACAGTGAATGCCAACAGGGTGGGTTCAATTCTCTCACTGGCTGAGGTTACTATGAAGGACTCTCCTTCTCAACCTCTCCCCTCGCCCTAAGTGTGGTGACCCTCAGGTTAAACCACCTCCATTGTCCCTCTCTAATGACAGTGCTGCCCTGCGGTCTTCCACCTAGATAGAAAAGAACAGGCTTGATGGGCTGAAGGGCCTCTTCCCCGCTATGGGGTAACGCAAACAAAGAGCTGAAAAGCAACTGGATGAGATTTCCTCATCACCACAAGTATGGTCTCACCTGTGACTTGGTGAGGAGCATTTGTCCTGGTCGGATCAAGTATTCAAAGAGTATTGGAAGCTGTTTGCGTTGACAGATGTCTTCAGACATTAATTAGGTTACCTTGTTGCTTGGTTTTGCTCTGCGAAATTTACACTAATAATGAATTGTTGAGCTTTAAGCTATAATCTTGGTGTCTGCCATCGGCTATTAATAAATATTTGGTTAGGAGCCATTGGGCAATTTTGAGGGTCATTGAATGCTTTGATTTTACTGTGTTGCAATTATGGGGATAGGGAAAGTGATTATGTCTGGCTTGCTCTCCCCATGCTGTAACACTTGGAACTGAAGGATACGTCTATACATAGAGAGAAGATCTCACACCCAAACCCTCACCTCCACCAAGATGCTTATACCATATCTGAGACAGCCGCCTGGCTGGAGAAAATGTTTTAACAATGGGTTTCAGAAAACAGCTATTTACTTACAGGTGGTGAGACAAAGAGATGGGTGTGGAGGCATCTCACTGCAGAGTGCATCCATCTGGATCCGCGACCTACCAAGATGAGGCGGCCAGTCAGCATACCCCGCAACGGAAGTACCCCTCAGAACTATTAAACTGCACATTATTTCGTAGGCTCACCCCCAATCAACCCCTGCAAGTCTTGGCTGAGCCCAGTTTGTGAACTACTGGAGCAAACTAATTTATAGATCAAGAGGTGCCCCATTTTGTCCACTTATACCTGTTAATCTGCACAGAAAGTTAAAGAACTGGGGAGGCACGGTGGCTCAGTGGTTAGCACTGCTGCCTCACAGTGCCAGGGACCCGGGTTCAATTCCACGCTTGGGCAACTATCGGTGTTGAGTTGGCACATTCTCCCTGTGTCTGTGGGGGTTTCCTCCAGGTGCCCGGTTTCCTCCCACAGTCCAAGGATGTGCAGCTTAGGTGGATGGGCCGTGCTAAATTGCACCGTACCGTCCAGGGAAATGCAGGCCTACAGGAATAGGATAGGGGAAATCAGGATGCTCTTCAGAGGGTTGGTGTGGACTCAATGGGCCAGAAGGCCAGCTTCTGCAACGTAGGAATTCTGTGATTCTATGAATTGTCCACACAGGCCCCATCGGTGCCTGACGGCCGGAGGGTTTCTCAATCTATCGGATGGATCGCAAAACGTCCTCGGGCAAGACAAACAGCAGAGGGGTTTGCCTCCTGATCAACACGTCTTGGTGCAACCCTGGTAAGTTACTGCTCCCTGGACCTAGAATATCTAACGGTGAGGTGTTGTCCCTAATACCTGCCATGGGAATTTACTTCTGCTATCCTGACAGCTCTTTATACACCACCCATGGGGAAGGGTAGAGCACACTTGATGAAATATACACTGTCCCAAACAGCCTAGAGACAGAATTCCCCCCGCACCTTAAAGCACCGTTCTCAATCAAAGACCCCTCCCACCCTGGTTGTAGTCTCTTCCATTGGGCAGAAGACACAGAAGTTTGAAAACACATGCCAGCAGATTCAAGAACAGCTTCTTCCTCATGGCTATCAGACTTATGAATGGACCTCTCAAATTAGAGTTGATCTATCTCTGCAGCTGTAACACCATAATCTGCAATCTGTTCTATTATCCTGATGTACTTACGCAAGGTACAATTTGTCTGATCAGCACTCAAAGCTATACTTTTCACTGTATCTCAGTACAGTGACAATAATAAATCAAATCTTTCTTTCAGGAACAGAAATTACTCAGAAAGTCAGCCTCCCAACACAAGTCAATCTCTGAGGTACTGGTTACACGTTGCACCCAAATCCTAGGATCAGACCAGATTAGACATTATAACGGAAAAACCCAAGGCAAACAGACAAGACACAAAGATTTAAAGGGAGGAATTACACTGTTGTGATGAAAACATGGAATAGAAACAGCCTAAAGACATTGAAGAGAGGAGATATTGCAGAAGCTAAGATGGATGATGATTCCAAGGTACTGGAATAGGATTAACCGAGAGAGACAAGAGTTTCAATTTCAACTGAATCGAAATGAAAATGGTAAATTCAACATATAAAAGATGTTGAGATGCAGCAATAATCTACCACATCTTCTCAAGAATTAAAAAAGAACTTTCTTTTCTTTATTCTTTCCTGGGTTGTGGGTGCCACTGGCAAGGCCAGCATTTGTTGTCCATCCTTAATTGTCCTTGAACGGAGTGTCTTGCCTGGCCAATTGTAGAGAGCAGTTGAGTGTCAACCACGTGGGTCAGGAGTCACATATCGGCCAGACCAAGTAAAGAGGCAGATTTCGATCCCTAAAGAATAATAGTGAACCAGATGGGTTTTTATGACGATCCACGATGGGTTTCACATTTGACATGACTGAGACTAGGTTTATTATCTCAGGATTTGTTCATTTGCTTTGAATTTTCCAAGCTGCCATGGTGTGATTTGAACCTCTATCCCTGGGCCTCTGGGTGACAGGGTCACTGTTGTAGCCAATCTTCTAATATTTCCACAGAACTTACATGAAATGTTTACAAAGCAGGATGTTCCCCAACTCTTCAGCGGTATTTCCAAGTAAGAACTCTTGCTCTGAGTGCAGCTGTGATGATGGCAAATGCTCAGACTATGGCCGTGTTCATTAACATAATAATGTTTAAAAAACACGGCAATTGTCTGTGTATCTTCTAACCCTGTCAAACAGGGAGGCGACGGCCTTGTGATATTATCGCTGGACTGTTAATCCAGAGGATAATGTTCTGGGGACCCGGGTTCGAATCCTGCCACAGCAGATGGTGCAATTTGAATTCAATAAAATATGTGGAATTAAGAATCTAATGACGATCGTGTTTTGATGACCGTGAATCCATTGCTGATTGCCAGGAAAAACCCATCTGGTTCACTAACATCCTTTACCTGCTGTCTTTACCTGGTCTGGCCTACATGTGACTCCAGACCCACTGCAATGTGGTCGACTCAACTGTCCTCTGGGCAATTAGGGATGGACAATAAATGCTGGCCTAGCCAGCAACACCCTCATCCCGTGAATGAATTAAAAAAAGCTAAGGTTACAAAGATGGATATGTTGACACTGCACCTGGATTACACGGGGAACTTTAAAATGAACATTTTTTTAAAAAAAAAAGAAATTGCAATGTTGTGAAATTCTGCATATGGAAATTAGAAAGAGAACAGCATCCCAGTAGTACACTGCCTTTCCCATGTACTGCGCCTTCTGAAAATACAACTTTTGTTCATTTGAAAGGAGTCAGTAGCGTCTCAATAGCTGGCCAAATTAAGTCTAGTGGCACTTTGTGTAATGTCTGCACACCATTGTCAAAGTGGAGCACAAAACTGATCTTTTGTGGGGTGTCTCTTGTTAAGATGAGTCTATTTCTAGCAGCTCGCTGTATAAATTTTGCACAGTTTTGAAATCTATTGCAACATTATTCCATAAACCAACTTGCCATTCAATCAAAGGGTAAAGACCTTGCATTTACAGAGCACCATTCCCAACCATAGCCTGTCCCAGAGTCTGCTGTTATATTGAAGAATTGCTCCCATTCCTTGCAGGGAAACACAGAAGCCAATACAGGGAGATCCCAAAAATAGCAACGCGACAATGGCCAGATATAATCTGTTTCAGCAATGCTGATTGAGGGATGATTAGTAGCTCTGGACACCAGTAGATCTCCCAGCATTTCTTTCGAATACTTCTGTGGGATCTTTTACACCAAACGTACACAATACACACTCCTAGCCTCACCCAGTTAGTGAATGGTACAGAAATATGGATCAGAAAAATTAGCTAACAGCCCCTCCCTCTCTCAGGCCCATATAAACATTAAACATTATCAAAATTAAAGTCAGCCATCAGAAGTTACCTATTCCCGACCAGAAATCTAGCAAACCCTGGACTAGAAAGCCAAGGGCAGCAGATACTTGGGAACACCACCACCTGCAAGCTCCCCTCCGATCCACTCACCATCCTGACTTGGAAATATATGGCCGTTCCTTCAGTGTCACTGGGTCAAAATCCCAGAATTAACCTCCCTAAGCACAAAAACTGCAGTGGTTCAAGAAGGCAGATCATCACCACTTTCGAGAGCAACCTGGCAGTGACACCCACATCCCATGAGTGAACAGAGACAGGAAGAAAGAAAGAAAGAAAGAAAGAAAGAATCCACTCGAGGTCTGTACACCAACTTGTCCCATAAACCTGCCAGCGACCACCCTCCACTCCATTGACTGTCAAACTAATGGGGCACTACTGACAAATTAGCCACCAGAGCTGTAGCATCATTGCAACCTCAGCCACTCCCAGCTCCATTTCCCTTCAGAACACGACCAGGACAAGAGCACGTGGTCACTCTCAGCAGTCAAAAAGGTGGTCAGCATCTACGCACCTACAATGGACACAACCACGAGATTTCACCAAAGCAACAGGGGCTTTCCATACCCGGTCATTAAAAATTAGCAGGGAGCCAATAGCCTAGTGGTATTATCAATCCTGGCAAAGTTCTGGGGACCCGGGTTCAAATCCCATCACGGCAGATGGTGCAATCTGAATTCAATGAAAATCTGGAATTAAGAATCTAATGATGACCGTTGTCGATTGTCAGAAAAACCCATCTGATTCACTAATATCCTTTAGGGAAAGAAACGGCCATCCTTACCTGGTCTGGTGACTCCAGACCCACAGCAATGTGGCTGACTCTTAACTGGCCTCTGGCCAATTAGGGATGGGCAATAAATGCTGCCCTCATCCCGTGAATCAATTTTTTAAAAATCCAATGCATCGCGAGTTCCCAGCCCCAGAAGACGACGTGCCTGTGGGAGATACAAATCTTTGCAAGGAAAGGGGGAAGACAGGGAGGAAAGGAATGCTCCGCCTTCTACATCTCAACCATAGAGGAACACAAATCTGGGAGCAAGTCATTCATCTAGCAGCTTATTCGAGAAGCCCCTGTGGGGCAATCTAGAACGAAAGGTCAGAGTTTTAGGATGAGTGGGGGAGACATAAAACAGAGAGAAGGAGAAATTCTGTGGAATTTGTTACCCAGAATGCAGTGGACCCCAGGACACTGAGTAAATTTAAGGAGCAAATAGACAGATTTTTAATTAGTAATGGCTAAAAGGTCATGGGGAGTGAGCAGGAAAGGGGAGCTGAGGCTGAGATGAGATCGTATTCAATGTTGGAGCAGGCTCGAGGGGCTGAATGGCCTCCTCCTACTCCTGGTTCCTATGAATCCTGGGACAGGGCAGATTTAAGAGATCAAGAATACAAAGTTTGTGCTTAATTGGAAATCAACGTAGCGCAGTATAATCTCCGACTCTGTTGCTATTCTGAAGAATAATCATTCATTAATGAACACCAGCCACTAGAGACATTGAAATGGAAATGAGTTAGCAACATGAAAGGAAATGCAAAATTTTAAGGTATGTTTGAACATGAGTTAAGAAGATCTCCATTAGTCTAGTCTTAATACTCACTAGCGTAGTTTGAATCATAGAATCCCTACAGTGTGGAAACAGGCCCTTCGGCCCAATAAACCCACAGCGACCCTAAGAGCATCCCACTCAGACCCATCCCCATCCCCATCCCCCTATAACCCACCTAATCTACACATCCCTGGACACTATGGGCAATTTAGCATGGCTAATCCACCTAACCCACATATCTTTGGACTGTGGGACGAAACCGGAGCACCCGGAGGAAACCCACACAGACACGGGGAGAATGTGCAAACTCGACACAGTCGCCTGAGGGTGGATTCGAACCTGGGTCCCTGGCGCTGTGAGGGAGCAGTGCTAACCACTGAACCACCGTGCCTCCACTGTGGTTGGGGAAGGTTTGATTGTGACATTCAAAAGGGAACTTGATGATTGTACGAAAAGACAAGCAGGATTATTGAGGAGAAGGCAGAGGTCATGTATATGCAGCATTTGGAGAACAGTGCAGTCACAGTGGGCCAAATGGCCTCCTGCTGTGTTGTAACGATGTGAAACAAATATATCTCTACTGCTGTACAAAACAGACTGCAGCTCATTACTGCACTTTGTATTTTACTTCACTGAGCAGGCACCTGAATGCTTCAAATGCCAAAGAAATGCCTAAAATGTTCACCTGTTCAAAACTTAATTGCCATTGGTCACAAGAGATCTTACTTTTTTCCCTGCCGTTCCAATTCTGGTTCTTCCTTTCTCTTTCCGACCTGGATTTCTCGTTTGCCGCCTTTCTTCACGTGGGTGACTGCAGAGTCATCGTCCTCCAAACTGCTGTTACTATCTGTGTCAAACGTGGAGGTTAAAAACTCTTCAACACTCAGTTGGGCAAGTTTTCTGCAACACACAAAGTGTTTAAAGTTAATGAGTAAAAGAAAGAACAAGGAATCTATTTGTGCCATTCTGCCCAACCACCAGGGACTATGCTTTCAGCTCCCCGGGCCCCTCTCTTTTAGAATTCCTTTTGTAAACTTCTCTACATCTCCCTTCCATCCCTTGAGCACTCCTTAAAAATCGAACCTCTTCGACCACACCTTCAGTCACCTGTCCTTCCATCTCCTTTTGCACTTCACTGTCAAATTTTGTTTGATAGAATCAAAATAAATAGATACTGGTCTGTACAATAGTGTGGGTGTAAAGACAATCTTTTCATTTTCTGTATTTTTTGACTGTGGACTGGAATGGGAGCCTGTATCTGAAAATCTATTTATTTGTAATTAATAATAGTTCTTGTTAAGTACAGAAACCTGTTCCTTCTGTCAACCTGGGTCTTGAACACAAGGAATTCCGTGTGTATTTAAAACCTGCAACTTTTGTGACAACTCTGGGAATAACGATTTCCAATGTGCCACCCAAAGAGGCTTAACACTATTGTAAAGGCACTACATCAACAGCGGCCATGTACCTGCTGCCCTGGTCTTTCTAGATGGAAGTGGACGTGGGTTTGGAAGGATAACGGAGGTAATAAACGTAACGACCGCGTATTCACTCAATACCCCAATGTTAACGGTGTCCTGAGTGCCTCTGTTTCTGAACTCCCACTTTTTCTGGCACTTCTCTGGGCCCTGCCTCTAAAACCTCACCCACCCATCCCTACAAACAAAGAGGAAAGAATTCACATGTGCTGCTTGTAACAAGATAAAAATTGCAACAGAAGCATTTTAGCTCTCCGGAATTAACAGCAGAATTAAAGTTGGTGCCTGATACTGTTCACCCTTGTAGCAGGCAATCCGGTTCAGCAAGAAACCAAAAAATTTTAAAAGGTCATTTTGTGACTAAAACTCCATCATCGTACAACAGGACCTTAATCAGATGGAGTTTAAATTAGATAAATGTGAGGTGCTGCATTTTGGAAAGGCAAATCAGGGTATGACTTATACACTTAATGGTAATGTCTTGGGAGTGTTGCCAAACAGAGATCTTGGAGTACAGGTTCGTAGTTCCTTGAAAGTGGTGTCGCAGGTAGACAGGGTGGTAAAGAAGGCATTTGGTACACTTGTCTTTATTGGTCAGCGCACTCAGCACAGAAGTTGGAATGTAACGTTGTGGCTGTACAGTACATTGCTTCGGCCACTTTTGGAATACTGCATTTAATTCTGCTCTCCCTGCTTTGGAAAGATGTCAGTAAACTTGAAAGAGTGCAGTAAAGATTTACGAGGATGTTGCCAGGATTAGAGGGTTTGAGCCAGAGGGAGAGGCTGAATAGGCTGGGGCTATTTTCCCTGGAGTGTCGGAGGCTGACAGGTGACCTTATAGAGGTTTATAAAATCATGAGGAGGCACAGGTTAGACTGTGCCATCCACCCTTTCTCTCCCAGAGCAGGACAATCCAAAATTAGAGGACGCAGGTTTAAGGTGAGAGGGGAAAGATTTAAAAGGGACTTGAGGGGCAACTTTTTCATGTAAAGGGTGGTGTGTGTATGGAAGTGGTGGATTGGAGGCTGGTACAATTACAACATTTAAAGGCATTTGGATGGGCATATGAATAGGAAGGGTTTACAGGTATATCGGCCAAATGGGCCTAGGTTCATTTAGGACGTGTGGTCGGCATGGATGATTTGGACCGGAAAGTCTGCTTCTGTGTCATACAACTCTATGACTCTTCAGCAACTGCTTGAGGATGAGTCACAATTCCACTGTGACATCTCATCATACAACCTCAAGGAAAGTGAAAATATATTAAAATAAAACAAAAAAAAACTGAGGATGCTGGAATTCTGAAACAAAAACAGAAAGTGCTCGAAAAACTCAGCAGGTCTGGCAGCATCTGTGGAGAGGGAAGCAAAGTTAATGTTTCGAGTCCGGAGGTTCGAAAGAAGGGTCACCTTATCTCTGCTTTCGCACCACAGATGCTGCCAGACTTGCTGAGTTTCTCCGCAATTCCTGTTTTTGTTTAACGAAAATATACTTATTGTTTGCCCCCACTTTATTAGGCGCTGTTAACAGATAATAATCCACTGTGAACTGTATAATTCGCAGTTCCGGTCTCAAAAACATTAAATCACAAGCAAATCCTTTAAAGATCTATTCCGTCATTAATGGCCCACAGATGGAGCCTTAGAATCAGAAGGCTGTGGGTTCAAAATTTCCCACTGCAAGGGCTGGAACATAAAATACAGGCTGACACTCCAGCGCAGTACTGAGGGGGTGCTGTGCTGTCAGAAATGCCAGCTCTCAGAAGAAGGGTCTGCCGTTCAAACGGGTGTAATATTATAAAGAAGAGCAGGGGCTTATCCCTGACAATCTGGTCAATATTTAGTCCTTCGCCAACATCACAGAAGAAGATGCGATCATCAGTGCATAGGCTTGTGGGGCTTTGTCCCCTTTTCCTACATTATGACAGCGACTACACTTCAAGAAGTAGTTCACTGGGCTTCAGAGTGCTTTGGGCTGTCTGGTGATCACAATGGGCGCTACACAAATGCAAAGATTTTAAAATCAAAATAATTCAGTAATCTTGCCATGCGGTGGCTCAGTGGTTAGCACTGCTGCCTCACAGCACCAGGGACACAGGTTTGATTCCAGCCTCGGGTAACTGTCCATCTGTTAGTCTCAGATTTAATGTCGGGTTCTTTCAATATATCTCAATTAAATGGATCAACTGTCTGTGTGATTGACATCACTCACGAACACGAATGGAATTCCCTCGTGTCGTTTGCCAGTAGAGGTGGTGACACTGTGGTATACAGTCAGGACAGAGTGACTTCAAACCCCATGAAGTTTTATGACTTCAGGTCAAATACGGGCAAGGAACCTCCTGCCGAGTGCCAAGTACCATCCTATCTTGGCTGATGTATCAGTACTCCATGTTGAACATCATTTGGAGGAAGCACTGAGAGTGTCAAGAGGGCAGAATGTAGGTGGGGGATCTCGATGCCCATCACCAAGAGTGGCTCAGCAGCATGATTAGGGGAGGCCTAGTGATATTATCGCTGGACTGTTAATCCAGAGACCCAGGTAATGTTCTGGGAATCTGGGGTCAAATCCCAGCATCATACATGGTGGAATGTGATTTCAATGAAAATCTGGAATTGAGTCTAATGATGACCAGGAATCCATTGCCAGTTTTTGGAAAAATCCATCTGGTTAGCTAATGTCCTTTAGGGTAGGAAATTGACATCCTTACCTGCCCATGACTCCAAACCAAATAACAATGCGGTTGAGTCTTAACAATTGCCTATCCAGCAACACCCTTATTGCGTGAGTGAATGAATGAATAAAATAAAGTTACTGATAAAGCTGGTTGAGTCCCAAAAGACACAGCTGTCAGATTGGTTCTCTGGCAGCTGGTGAGGGAATGAACAAGAGGGAAAAAATAATTGATCTCATCCTGACCAATCTGATGGCTGCACATGCATCTGTCCAAGACAGTATCGGTAAGAGGGCAGGCCCTTTACAGCACTGAACTTGTAAAGACAAAGTCCTATCATTCATAATGAGAATACCCTCCATCGTGTTGTGTGGCACTGTCACTGGGCTAAATGGGACAGACTTTGAACAGATCTGGCGACTCAACACTGGGCATCCATGAGGTGCTGTAGACCATCAACAGCACCAGAATTGTACTCCAGCACAATCTCATTACCATCAAGCAAGCAAATCAACCCTCGTTCAATACAGAGTGCAGGAGGGCATAACAGCACCAGGCATAGCTAAAAAAAGTGAGGTTCCAACCTGGTGAAGCTACCAAACAGGACTACTAGCACGCCAAACATCATAGCAACAAGTGATAGACAGGGCTAAGGAATCCCACAACCAGTAGATCAGATCTAAGCTCTGCAGCCCTGCTGTATCAAACCATGAAAGTTGGTGGACAATTAAACACTCACTGAAGGAGGCAGCTCCACAGATATTCCCATCCTCAGTGATGGGGGACCTCAACACATTAGTGCAAAAGAAAAGGCTGAAACATTTGCAACAATCTTCAGCCAGAAGTGGCAAGTGGATGATCCATCTTAGCTTCCTCTAGACTTCCCCAGCATTACAGATACCAGTCTTCAGCCAATTTGATTCACTCCACGTGATTTCAATCATCTCAACACCAGGACATCTCTGCAGGAGTTCCTCAGGGTAGTGTCCTAGGCCCAACCATCTTCAGCTGCTTCATCAATGACCTTCCCTCCATCATAAAGTCAGAAGTGGGGATGTTCGCCGATGATTGCACAACGTTCAGCACCATTTGTGACTCCTCAGATACTGAAGCAGTCCATGTTCAAATGCAACAAGATCTGGAGAATATCCAGGCTTGGGCTGACAAGTGGCAAGTGACATTTGCGCCACACAAATGCCAGGCTATGACCATCACCAATAGGACATAATCTAACCACCATCTCTTGACATTCAATGGTGTTACCATCACTGAATCCTCCACTATCAACATCCTGGGTGTTATAATTGACCAGAAACTCAATTGGACTCACCACATTAACAGAGTGACTACAAGAGCAAGCCAAAAGCGAGTAACTCATCTCCTGACTCCTCAAAGCCTGTCCACCATCTACAAGGCACAAGTCAAGAGTGTGATGGAATACTCCCCACTTGCCTGGATGAGTGCAGCCTCAACAACACTGAAGGAGCTTGACACCATCCAGGACAAAGCAGCCCGCTTGATTGGCACTACATCCACAAGCATCCACTCCCTCCACCACCAACGCTCAGTATACACTGCAGCTACTATCTACAAGATGCAATGCAGAAATTCACCACCAATCCTCAGATAGCACCTTCCAAACCCACGACCACTTCCATCTAGAAGGACAAGGGCATTAGACATATGGAAACCCCGCCACCTCCAAGTCACTTACCATCCTGACTTGGAAATATATCACCGTTCCTTCACTATCACAGGGTCAAAATCCTGGAATTCCCCCCCAATAGCATTGTCAGTCAACCCACAGCAGGAGGACTGCAGCAGTTCAAGAAGGCAGCTCACCACCACCTTCTCAAGGGCAACTAGGGATGGGCAATAAATACTGGCCAGCCACCGAAGCCCACATCCCACAAATGAATAGAGAAAAAAAAATTTTAAGAAATGGCTCAAGGCATTGGAAAATGCAAAGGCTATGGGCCCTGACAACATACAGGCAAGGGTACTGAAGACTTGCGCCCCAGAAATTGCCACACCTCTGGCCAAGCTGTTCCCCATACAGTTACAACACTGACAATATGGAAAATTGCCCAGGTATGTCCTGTACATTAAAATCAGGACAAATCCAACCCAATTAATATCCCATTGGTCTACTCTCAATCATCAATAAAGTGAGGGAAGGGATCAATAGCTTATCAACAACCTATTCACTGAGTTTCATACCAGTCGTTGAACTGACCTCATTATAGCCTTGGTTCAAACGTGGACAAAGATGAATTCTAGGGTGAGGTGACAGCCTTTGACATTAAGACTGCATTTGAGTGAGTGCAGCATCAAGGAGACCTCGTAAAACAAGAGTGATTGGGAATCAGGGGAACACTCTCTGCTGGTTGGAGCCATGCCTGACACGAAGGAAGAAGTCTGTAGCTGTCGGAGGTCACTTACCTCCACTCCTGGATATCTCTGCAGGAGCTCCTAGGGGTAATGCCCGCAGCCTAACTATCTTCTCTGCTTCACCAATGACCTTCCCTCCATCAAAAAGGAGGTTTGCTGATGATTGCACAATGTTCAGTACTATTTATCAATCCTCAGATACTGATACAGTCCCTGTCCACATGCCGTATTACCCAGATAATGTTTAAGTTTGAACTGACAAGTGGTAAGTAACATTCCCACCTCACTAGTGGCAGGCAATGACTATCTTCAACAAGCGAGAATGAAACTACCATAATGGTGTTCCCATCACTGAATCCCCCAGTATCAGCATCCTGTGGGTTACTATTGACCATAATCTGAAGCAGACTCTGGCACATAAATAGTGACTAAAAGACCAAGTCGCAGGCAAGGAATCCTGCACCAAACAATGCACCTCCCAAGCCTGCCCACTGTTGACAAGGCACAAGTCAGGAGTGTGATGGAATGCTCCCCACTTGTCTGGATGACTGAGACCCAACAACACTCAAGAAGCTTGACACCATTCAGGACAAAGCTGCTCACTTGATTAGCACCACATCCACAAGCATCCACTCCCTCTACCACCGATGCTCGGTAGCAGCAGTGTGTACTATCTACAAGATGCACTGCAGACATTCACCAAAGATCCTCAGCACCTTCCAAACCCACGACCACTTCCATCTAGAAGGACAAGGGCAGCAGATACATGGGAACACCACCACCTTCAAGTTCCCCTCTGAGCCACTCACCATCCTGACTTGCTGTTCCTTCACTGTCACCAGGGCAAAATCCTGGAATTCCCTCATTAATGGCATTATGGGTCTACCTACAGCACACAGACTCACCACCACCTTCTCCAGTAAAACATGGGATGGACAATAAATGGTGGGCTAGCCAGCAACATTCATACCCTGAGAATTAATAAAACCAAAGCCTTCTCCCACCGCCATGTGTCCCACTTGATCAACATTTGTTAACGAAATGCACATTAAACAGCTCTTCCAGTCAATACCAAGATGGCACAAGTGTATGTGACCACAGCATCCAGGATAGCATGGGAATTCACAGGAAAGGATGGTGAATTGGTGGAATTGTCTACCGTGGGGTCCATGGGGGCTCAGTGATTCAGTGTGCTCAAGACAGAGATCAAGAAATCTCCAGCTTTTCAGATATCAAGGGGTTGCAGGGATAGTGCAGGAAAATGGCATTGAGAGAGAGATGACCAGCCTGATCGAGTTGAATGTTGGAGCAGACTCTCTTCATAGAAATCACAGGATCCCTACAGCATGGAAACAGGCCCTTTGGCCCAACAAGTCCACACTGACCCTTGGAGCATCCCACCCAGACCCATCCCCTTAAAAAACTACCTAATCTACACATCCCTGAACACTACGGGCAATTTAGCATGGCCAATCCACCTAACCTGCACATCTTTGGACTGCAGGAGGAAACTGGAGCACCCGGGGAGAACGTGCAAACTCGAGGGACTGAATGGTCAGCTCTTGTTCCCATTTCTCAGGAGGCAGCCAGCAACCCACCAAGTCTTTCAAAGAACTTTCTAATTACTCCTGCAATCGACTGCATGTCCCCACTTTCAACACATCATCCTCCCTCACCCCATATCCCACTGTGTTCCCCGAAATAGACAGTAACAAGTGTTAGAAACAATTCCTACGGATACGCTGCACCCACACCCACACCCACCCCCAACTTTAAACTCCTACCAGATACCTTCAAAAAAACATAGAGGGGGAAGAGGCAGCACTTAGAAAGAGAGCAGAATGAAAGAGATAGTGCACAGAGTGGACAGGAGCAGGGTGACAGAGTGAGCACAGATAGCAGATAAGGCAAGGGTTCAGACAGACACCAAAGTGAATAAAGCCAGGTTTAGAAAAAGGGAGAAAGCAGAGTTGACAGGGAAAAATCTACAGACAGTAATTTAGGCATGTTTTAGAGAGAAAGAGAGAGAGAGCAGAGTGAACAAAGTTTAGAGAGACACCAAAGTAGTTAATGAAGGATTTAAAGAGAAAAAGAGAACACAGTGGCTAAAGAAGGGTTTAGAGAGAGAAAACAGAGTGCTTAAGGGAGGGTTTAAAGAAAGAGAGAGAGAGAGAGAGAGGACAGAATGGTTAACAGGGAGTTTAAAGAGTGGTCAAGGAAGGATTGAGAGAAAGATTACGGAGTGGTTAAGGGAGGATTGAGAGAGAGAGAGAGAACATAGTGGATAAGGGAGGGTTGAGAGAGAGAGAGAACAGAGTGGATAAGGGAAGGTTTAGAGAGAGGGAGCACAGTGGTTAAGGGAGCGTTTAGAGAATGTGGCTGAGGCCGAGTTTAGAACGACAGACCAGACTGGAAAAGACAGAGTTTAAAAAGACTGGAGACATTAAACGAACACATAATCCCCCCAGGAACACGGCACATTGAAGAAAACACGTGTTCCAGTTCGCGGTTTTATAAACAGAGGGGGAGAGAGAGAGAGCTGATAATGGAGAGTGAGAGCACAGTTACACTCACCTCTTGCTAGAAGCAGCCATACTGCTACCGAGGGAACACATTGTAACAACGTGATGTCGAGAGGTTCCGTTCCCACAATCCGCAACAGGAAGGAACAGGGCTTTTACTCACTGCTTTAACTCTCAACTCCCTGGCACATCCACATCTCCTGCTACTGCTACTGCTACTGCTACTGCTACTGCTGTCTTCACATCCTTCCAATCCAGCTGGAATCGTGTTTACAGATAAATCCCGCTTCCTGCGTGTTTTATATGATTTCTCTCCGTTTCCCACCTCCTCCCCTTCAAGGAGCAAGTCTCGCTGGAACTCCAATTCCCGTTTTGTCAGAATAGTAAATATGGTGAGTTAAGTTGTGCACTTTCTGATGAGGCAGTTTACAGTGAAGGATTATACTGGGCATTTAAGGTGGACTCTCTTTGTGTGATTTAAAGAGAATTTTTTTTTCAACCGTGACGTGACTTCTAAAAAAGATGCGTGATAATGTGACACTTGCAGCTCTCGGTTGTTGCGGTGTAGTGCACTGCAGAAGGTTCGATCTTAAAGTTGCAGTTAGCTGATGGGAAAGGGTTTTAAGTGAGATTAATGCAACCCCATATAAATTTATTTCCCAAAATATTTGACAAGTCCCCCAAGGCTTTGATTCAACTGTTGTCTCTTTTTTAGCAAGTTGGACTATTTCTATGAAATGAGTGTTAAATGTTAAAGAAACATTCCCGGATTTGTAACACAGGCTGAGGAGCTATTCACTCACATTTGGACCATGAGTGATCTGTGAATTTGAATCCCAAAACTTAACTGTGACACGTTGGAATGGAAAATTGCAACTGAATGCCATGAACGGTTGGTGTTGCCTTTTATGTTATTGCTTTGTTAAAATAACCCTAACTTGTGCAAATTTAGTTACAAACGAGCAAAACCCCAAAAGCTAACTGAAAGGATGTATTTAAGGTTGGAAAACATTTTCTGGTTGACTTGTGTTTGGGATTTGGAAGACAAGTGGTTGTTGAAAGTAAAATTAAATCAGTAAGTAGCTGTGAAAGGACAAGACTTGTCTATTTCCGGTAGTTGTTTAACCATCTAGCAGTCAGAATTGGAGTTTTAAAAAATTAATGATTTTTGTTTTAGTTGGTGTAAATATTCGGCCTTTCCAAATAGTTCTGTTTAGCTCAACTGGCAGGGTTTTTCAGAATGTTTAAACGGTGGATTGCGAGATGGGGCGAATTGAACCGTTTGAATAGTTTGTGTTCAGAAGTGTTGCGTTTAATTACTAATTCCTTTTTCACACTGTGCCTCCTTAAGTCAAAATGCTTTTTGTTTGTAATTACATGTGGGGTCACTTTTATATTCTGATGGATTCCGGCATTCTGATGATTCCCCTTCCCGACAGCTGTGATTTCATTCTGTATAACCGGCACCGTCCACTTGGTTGAAAGACTGCTCTCCACCATCTCCACAGCAAACTAGAGGCTTTCACGGAAGCGAAGCGGAGGAAGGCGTCGACCCAGATTTATTTGAGTTTTTGGAGGGGTGAACCACAGTAACCACCACCGCCCCCCCCAACTCCCCTACCCAACATGTGCTAGTTTCTGCTCCACAAGCTGTAAGTATCGTCTGAATGGAATCAGTGTGTTGTGATCTGATCTGAGAGCGAGCCTTTGTTTTGTTATGGTAACAGAGCAGATCTAAATGTTGACTCTGGCAGATCCTTTGACATATGTTAAACGGGGTTTGGGGAGAGGGGTGAAGAGGATAGGGTTTGAGGACATTTCTTTTAGAAAAGGACTGTAATTCCTAACGTATATGTTTAAAGCTTCCTGTTCCTTTGTTCCCTTTTACGAATACAAACCTAATGGACGGTATGAAAATAGAGGGGAGGCGAGTAGAGAGAATGTGTTATTAGAAGACATTGAGTGGATTCGACGTCTTGAATATTGTAAAATGCCTGGCCTGGGGTAAATTCATAGCAAGACCGTGAAACATCGAGCCTGAAATCCAGAGAGCTCTGTATGTTTGCATCGATTTCGCCTCTGGGGCTCTTAACTCAGTTCATCTGACAGGGCCAAGCCGCCGCCTTTTGTTCCCAATGCTGGGACTACATACACATTCCCATTTTCTTTCCCCTTAGTTAAATCTTCAGTATCCCACGCCGTTTTATTTGCCTTGACTTTTTGACAACGACATTGCTGAGATGAACGTGCTAGATCAGATCCTATGTAACCAGCAAATGATTAATCAATTCCACATGCACTGTGAATAGGATTGGCATTGCTATGTCTGTGGATATATTAAACTGATTTTGTTTTTTGAGGGATGGTTTTGGGATATTGATTTGCAACAGTGTTTGGGAACATAGAGTCATAGAGATGTACAGCATGGAAACAGACCCTTAGGTCCAACTCACCTATGCTGACCAGATAAGCTAAATTAATCTAGTCCTGTTTGCCAGCATTTCGGCCATATCCCTTCAAACCCTTCCTACTCATGCACCCAACCAGGTGCCTGTAAAATGTTGTAACATAGTTTATTTTCAACGAAGCAGCTCCTTTTTTTGGAATTATTTAAACATCTAGGACATGTTTAAGCAGCATCCTATTCTCAAAAGGTTAACACCTGCTCAGCTCTGCATTTTAACAGCTGTATATGCTAAGAAAGGGACTGTTCCCCCTTCTGTATCCTGGACTTCTTGTACAGTAACTAAATGCTGGAGAACACCACGATCACGGTAGATATTTTAATCAATCAGTTCACAGAGATGACACCCCTTTGGAGCAAGTTGGACTTTCGAACCTGGGTCTCCTGCCTCAGAGGTAGGGACACTACTAGTGTACCACCAGACGGTCACCAGGATCATTTTAAAAAGGGGAGAGACTGGGGACATTTGTATGTTGCCAGCACTAAACTGGATACATTTGCTTTAAGAGGATGAGGCGTTCCGTGCTGGACAGGGCGACCAGCCAATCACAGCCGACCTTTGGCCCTCATTGACGTCATCGCACCAATCAGCATCGCCGAGGGCGGGACTGAACGTCAGTCCGGAGCTTGATATGTGGCTACATTGTCAATGCTGCCCCGCAGCTGATCTGTGAGTAACATTTACATTCCTCGTTCAATGTTTGGGGTAATAGAGGTTTTTGCAAAAATATGCATTAAGGGGAGGTTTAATTTCTAAGCAGCATGGGAAGGAGGGTGGTGTGCTGGTGTTTGAACTATAAATCATAGGCAGTTAACAGAATGAGCTTCCATAAGCTGCTTCTGCCCTGTAAAGCTGGACGATACGGTACTGTACAGACACTCAGCACCTTCCATTTGTAGGTTGTGGTCCTGTCACACAGCCCGGGTTCAATTGTGTTCGATGCACCGTTCACATCGAGGGCTGTGTGTATGTGTGTGTTGTGTGAATTTTTTTTAATGTCACCTGGCAGAATAAGAGTCTGCATATGATGCTGGAACCATAGCATCATTCACCTCATTTAAGCACTCGACCGTTTAATGAGATTTAACCCCCACCTGACCAAACTCCCCTCCCTACCATGCAATACAATGAAAGAGGCTTTTTGAATTGGGCAGTTGGCTTACGTGTTAACCAGGTTTGATACTTATGTCCATTCAACTTGCCTTTCTCTTTATAAAAAAACTGAGTCACTGGGCCTGAGTGCAGGGGACTGGTGGGAGATGGGTTGTTTCTTTTCTTGACGTGGTTTCTCCAACACTTTCAACTGATTTTGGGTGCTTTCGTTTTCTCGGCAAGCCATCGTTTCAGGCTGAGTTAACCCTCTCTGAGATTCCAGGCAAAAAGACACCTTGGAGCTGACTGACACTGGAGAATGATGCAGAGGGAGGGGATGGAGAAAGGCAGGAGGACCTAGTATAAGGTGAAAGCGCTGTTTACTTCATAGCAGACTGAGAAGGATTCTGTACTTTTTCATGACTTTATTGTGTGCAAGTGGGAGTGTCAGAGAATTGAGAAGTATTGAATACTCCTGAGGTGGCCTTTTCTGATGACAGCATGACTGACACAGACTATCCTTAAGTCACCTCACGAATTCAGAGTTTCTGACTCCGATGGCACGTGGCATTTGTTCTCCAGATATGAGCAAGCACCAAGTGCGAATGATATTGGAGACTGAAGGGTGACCTTACAGAGGTTTATAAAATCATGATGGGCATGGATAGGGTGAATGACCAAGGCCTGTGGTGGGGGAGTCCAAAACTAGAGGGCATAGGTTTAAGGTGAGAGGAGAAAGATTTAAAAAGGACCCGAGGGGTAACTTTTCCACACAGTGGGTGGTACATGTAGTTGCCAGAGGAAGTGGTGGAGGCTGATACAATTACAACATTTTAAAAAGACATCTGGATGAGTATATGAATAAGATGGGTTTAGAGGGATATGGGCCAAATGCGGGCAAATGGGATTAGGTCAGATTGGGATGTCTGGCCAGCACAGACGAGTTGGACCAAAGGCTCTATTTCTGTGCTGCATGTCTATATGTGGTGTGGAGGGGGGGGTCATGTATAGGCCAGACTGAGGTGAGTTTTCTTTTCCTTTGTTAACCAGAACCCTTCAAGTTATTTTTTTTCTCCCTTTTATTTCCATCTTCTATGATGGCAAGTCCATAATGATCAGATTTGGCAGATTGAGTTTTGGAGTTTGCTGCTGGCTTGAACTTGGGAGGTCTGAGTTTCCCAGTCAGTACCCTACCTAAACTCGCATTGCCCTGGGGGTCGAGTTCTTCGTGGTCCCTGGGGAGGAGGGATGAGTGGTCACATTTAATGTGTTTCCCGTGGGGGTCGGGGTCACATTTATCACCTTGCCCACACGAGGAGGATTCCTGGATTATGGTCAGTTGCTGGAGAGAGGTGCAGAGCTGAGATCAGCCAGTTCTCTAGAGTAACTAAGGACAGAAACGATGACGCCTTTACCTCCTGCAAGAGCTGTGCATGAAACCAAGTTTGACCATTTCAATCCCGTTCCAGGTTGCTGAGGGCTCACTTTGGAAAAATTGCCCTGAAGTTAGTCCCAGCCACTGGAATTTACAGTGTGCCTTTTTAATGTGGGATACTGGTACTTTGGATGGTTAATGTAACAAAAATGCACACTGAGATACAACGATAGAACTAGGAAGGCTATTGAATAAAAGCTTGGACAAAGATGTTGGTGGGCCTTTAAAAGAGGAGAAGGAGGGAAACAGATCTGAGAATTTGATAGAAGACTTTACATTTAAGTCAGTTAATGCCTGGGGAGTTCCGAATAGCATTGTGGCCAATGAAGCAGTTTTTGAAGGGATTAAAAAAATTGTAAAGTTAGGCAATATGACATAAAATCACAAAAATGATGAAAACCCTCAGCAGCTCGGGCAGTATCCATGGGGAAATGATCAACATTAACGTTGCAGGATGATAACCTTTGCTCATAACTATTACAACGAAAGGTCTTTGACTGGAAAAGTTAACTCTGTTTCTGTCTCCACAGATGCTGCAAGACCTGCTGAGTGTTTTCACCAATCTCCTTTTCCATTTATGTACTTCTAAAGTGTCCTGATGGTTGTTTAATCTAGGAAATGCAGCTGCTCAATTTCACACGGTGAGATCTCGTGAACAGTGATGATCAGATAACTACTTCAGTTGCATTGGTTGATGGATAAATGTGGTCTCAGCCATCATGGGTAATAGCTGCTTGCACGTGAAACTGTACCATGAAAATTTTACAGCCACCCGAGAGCACACGGGGTCTGTGTTTGATATGTGATCTGTGAGAGGATGCCAATGACAGAATAGCACTCTTTCAGGACTGCACTCGAATATCACTGCAGATTACTTTGCTATTCTCATCTCCGAAGCATTTCTGTTTGGGAAATAGCAAATCTCCCTGAGGGCCCCCCTGTGCCATCCTACATCTTCATGTTGTAATGGCAAATCAGGACAGGGGTTTCCTGATGACAGCACAGGCTGCACATAGCAAGAACGCGACACTCTGGCCTTAATGATATTCGAATATATTTTATAAAATTGCATTACATGGAGGAGCGTCCCAATGCCAAGTGTCCAATGATCCAGAGTGCTGTGAAATGTAGAGTGGAGGTTAGCTGTTGTTTTAGAGAAAGAATGCTTGAGACAACAGCAACTTGCATTTATATAGTGCCTTTTAATGTGGATGAATGTGTCAAGGTGCTTCACAGATGTCTTTATCAGACAATAGTCGACATCAAACCTCATACAGAGTTATTAGGGTAGGTTAACAAAAACCTGGTCACAACATTGGGTAATAAGGTATGTCTTTTTTTTAAAAGAGGAGAGCGTGGTGAAAGGGTTTAGAGAGGGAATTCCAGAGCTTGAGTCCAAAGTTGCTGAAGCCAATAGCTGCCAACTGTGGATGATGGAAATCACAGAATTGCAAAGGACCAGATTGGAGGAGTGCAGAGTTCCTGAAGGATTGTATGGCTGGAGGATGTTTGAATGGGAGAAGCTATGATAATTTGAAAACAAGATGAGAATTTGAAAAGCGAGGTGTGACTGGGTCAGGAGCTGTATGAATCAGAAAGCACAGAATGGAATTAGATACAAGTTGCAATACAGGTCGCAGTTTTTGAAGGTGATCGAGCTCAAACACAGTGGAGGATAGGCAGCTAGCCAGGATTTTAAAAGTTAAGGTACCAAAAGTATTGGGTAAGGATTACAGCATAGGATGAGCTAATGCAGAGTTAGAGCTGGGTGATACTGTTGAGCTGGAAATAAGTGGTCTTATCAATGGAGTAAATATTGGATTAAATGCAAAGTCCAGGTTGAAACTGTCAGGTTCAGTTGCAGAGGAGAAGTAGTTGGTGGTGGAGACTGAAAATGATGAACATCTTGACTGGAGAAAATGTTGATTTGAGCAGTACTGAATGCTGAACAAGCAGAGTGGGGGATCCAGACAGAATGTTGGGGTCGAGAGAGGTGATGGTGAGAAACAGCTGGGTGTTGGTAGCACCTGAAGAACTTTAAAGTTATGCTTTTGGATAATAATCTCATGACATAGCACACTGAGGAAACATGACAGAAGTCAACACCAGAGATAACACAGTGTGGAGCTGGAGGAACACAGCAGGACAGGCATCATCAGAGGAACGGGAAAGTTGACGTTTCAGTTAGGGACCCTCTTCTTTTTCTGAAAAAGGGTCCTGACCCGAAACGTCAACTTTCCCACTCCTCTGATGCTGCCTGGCCTGCTGTGTTCCTCCAGCTCCACAGCTTTGTTATCTCTGACTCCAGCATCTACAGTTCTTGCTTTCTCTGAGAATTCAACACCAGCTTGTCTCGGAAAGATTCCAAATCGCAGCTACAAAACAATATTAGTAGCATCCTAATAGAGAGCACATTCCCATCCTATTAGCTGGGAAATGGGAATCTATAAGTAATAAGGAGCAAAGAAAAACTCTTGAAAGGGGGACATTTGATTATGTGATCACAATCAATGGTGTTTGTAATTCAAACTGTGATATAGAGCATCACATTTTAAAAAAAAAAGGTGTAAGTGGGATTTGCGCAACCAGACACACTTAACACTCTGAAACTTTAATGTTCTTTAGAGTTACAAAAGCAATTTAACCACTCCATGTCACCAGAGAAACAAATGGTATTTTTTTTTCAGTTTCTTCTGTGATTATATATCTGGTCTTGACATTGTCCACTTGCCATATTCATTTCTTTCACTCTAATTCTTGCCTCCAGTTCCATTCCTGTCTGCTCTGTTTTAGCTACTGTTTCTTCACTCGCTGTTTCTGAAGGTGATTCCTGATCCTATTCTGGGATAATACTCTCATTGTAAGCCTTGTGATTGTGGCAGTGCATAGTCACAGAGGTCTACACCACACAAAAAGGTCTTTTGGCTCATTTGAGTCCTTGCCAAACAAAAACAAACAGCTAACTATTCTAATCCCTATAATCCCTGTGTTCTAATAGATCATATGTTTATGTGACGGTGAGCATTTGGTAATGAGCAGGCAAGAAACAAGTGTCAGCATTGGGCACTCCCAGGTCAACTATAATGTGTCATGTGCAAATTAAAGTTGCCTTTCCAAATGTTTACTTTGTGTTAGCAATTTTGCTCCAGTAACAAGGCTGGATATTCCCCTTAGAAGGTTTCTAAATTCAGACCAGCAGCTTTTTGCCAATTATATTTGTTGTGTAGACCTGAGGCTGCTTTATTTGACCCTGAGATGAGCAAGAATGCATTAACCAGATAACGCGTACACAACTGTTACACTTTTCTAAAGAATCCCGGGAGTAAATGTTCTGGGAGCTTTTGTTCCTTTTGATAGAATTCCGCAACATAATTGAAAAGAATGCTCATGTTGGTGAATCACCAGATTATCAATTTTTAGTTATGTTGCTGCTTTTTATGTTGGTTGTGTGATGAATGTTGGACATCAGGAAGAATTCTCTGGCACCTCTTTGAAATAAAATAGTGCCCTGCAATGTCTTTTGGTGACTAGAGAAGGCAAGTTGGTCCTTTGTTTCACATCTCCATCTAAAAGTTAATGTAAGAGCATTAGAAATAGGAACAGGGAAAGACTGTACAGTCCCTTCAGTTGGCTTTGCCGTTCAGTGCATTAATGGTTGACTTGGTCTTCATTTTCCAATCCCTCCTCTCATCCACGAGCCACCAAAAACTTACATCTGTTCCAGCCCTGAATATTTTCAGTGATGACGCATCCATAATCTTTTGGGGCAGACAATTCCAAGGATTCACAATCCTTCGAGTGAAATAATTTCAACCCCTCTCAGTCCTTAATGATTCGCCCCTTATCCTGAGACACTGCTCCTATATTTGAGATTCCCCTGCTGGGGGAATACAACCTCGAGCTACTTCTGAATGTTATAGATTTGCGGATGTTTAAAGTATAGCAGGAGGCCATTTGGCCTGTCGTGTTCCTCCTGGTCAACAAGACCTGACTAAACTAATTCCATTTTCCAGTTTTTGACCCATAGCCTGGAGGCTATGGCAATATAAGTGAATATCTCAATACTACTTTAAATGTAATGAGAGTTTCTGACTTAACTACTGTTTCAGGCAGTGAGTTCCAGACTCCCACCACCTTCTTACCTTAAATCCATTCCCACTGATTGCTGACCCTTCTCCTAAAATGTCTCTTCCTATCCTCCCTATCTATATCACTCATAATCTTATGCACATTAATCAGGCCCCCTCTCAACCTTCTCTCCATCTCCTTGCTCTTGTTTTCTTTGCCTGCTAACTTTAGGTGTCCGTTGATAAACGTCCTAAGGTCCCTCTGATCATCAAACATATCCCAGGACCCTACCATCTATAGTGTAATCCCCTACTCTGTTAGACTTCCCCAAATGTGTTATCGCTCTATTTTCTGGATAGAATTCCAGTTGTCACCGCTTTGCCTGGCTAACCAGCCCATTGATATCCTCCTGCAGTTTATGGCTGTCCTCCTCATTATTTACCACCCTGCCAATTTCCATGTCATCCACAAACTTCTTGACCATGCCCTGATGTTTTGAGTCAAAGTCATTAATGTACAGCACAAGTAGCCAGGGCCCAGCACTGAGCCCTGTGGAACCACACTGGAAACAAACTTCCTGTCACACAACCATCCCTCTACCATGACCCACTGCTTCCTGACTCTCAGCCAGTTTTGGATCCAACATTCCACTTTGCCTTGGATTCCACAGGCTCTTACTTTCTTGACCAGTCTGCCATAAGGGATCATACCAAAAACTTCGCTAAAGTCAGTGCTGATCACATCAAATACATGGCCTTCCCAACACACCTGATTACCTCCTCCAAAAAATTAATCAAATGTGGCAAACATTACCCTCCTTTCACAAATTCATTCTGATTATCCCTCATTATTCTGTCCTGTAGAATTTCTAATGACTTCCCAACCACTGAGGTTAGACTGACTTGCCTTTAATTTCCTGGCCTATCCCTTCCTCCGTTCTTTTATTAGTAATGAGACATTAACAGTCCTTTGGCATCTTGCCTGTGACCAGAGAGGATTTGAAAATGTCTGCCCGGCCCCCTGGTATCTCCTCCCTTGTTTCCCTCGACAGTATGGGGTGCATCGTGTCTTCCGTTACAGATTTATCCACTTCTTATGCTGCTGACATGAGCTAGTCTCCTCTTTGTATGTCTCTGCTAATTTCTTTGGATATTTCACAGCCATCCGTCCCTGATGACGTTACCTGGGTTTTCCTTTCTATTGTGAAGACACCGAGCACTGTACCTAAGACTTCTGGATCCACACACCAATCACCTCTAGGGTGACTACTCCTTCTCCCATAATTCCCTTGCTCTTTACACATATTTTTAGAAAATCCTTTTGGGTTTTCCTACATTCCACGCACTAATTCTTTCTCATGCACTATCTTAAGGGCGACACGGTGGCTCAGTGGTTAGCACTGCTGCCTCACAGCACCACAGATCCGGGTTCAGTTCCAGCCTCGAGCGAATGTCTGTGTGGGGTTTGCACATTCTCCCCATGTCTGCATGGTTTTCCTCTGGGTGCTCCGGTTTCCTCCCACAGTCACAAAGATATGCAGGCTAGGTGGACTGGCCATGATAAATTGCCCGTAGTGTTCAGGGATGTGTAGATTAGGTGGGTTATAGGGGATGGGTCTGGGTGGGATGCTCTGAGGGTTGGTGTGGACTTGTTGGGCCAAAGGGCCTATTTCCACGCTGTACGGATTCTATGATTAACTTTCCTAACTTCCTTGAGAAGTTTCCCACCACTTTTTATACTTTTCTAGGGACTCTACCATATTGAGCCCTTTGTATCTGTCAGCAGCTTCTCTTTATCCTTGCCCCCTCTTAATCTGAACCTTCATGTTCCTTGACATCCAGGGTTCACCAGTCTTGCTCCCACACCTTGTCTTTTATAGAAATGCATTTGGCTTTATAGAAATGTACTTGTCCTGTACCCTGGATAGTTCCTTCTTGAATGCCTCCCTCTGCTCTGACACAGTGTAATCTACAAATTGCTGCTCTCAGTCCAAATTGTATTTTAAAATAATTAAATTAACCTTGCCCTGGATTAGAACAATATTTTCCCCCCTCCATCCCATTCTAATCCTTTTCCATAACTATCGAACTGACTCCTGGTCATCTCCAAATTGCTCCTCTACCAATATGCCTGCCATCTGCCTGAGCTCATTTCCAAATACTGGGTCCAGAACTGTGCTCTCCCATGTTAGCCTTTCCACACACTGGCAGAAACAGTTCTACTGTGTACAATTTCGAGGAAATAAAATGCTTAGTCCCACACACCTGCATCTGGTTGTAACTCAGTAACTCATCCTCAAGTCCATGTACAACTGCATTGCGAAAGCATTCATGTAATCAGCTTAGGTTGCCCCTTTTTAAGCACAGTGTTGCAGCCCTCAACAAGTTTAAATGGGGGGAAAAAATACCTCCCCTCGTCCACATCGTTTGTGAATAATTGATTTGATTTTAAATCGCTGTCTCTTGGTTGTTAGCCCACTCACCACGTGGAAGTCGGAGGGAAGACCCTAATGCCTCTCTCAAATCTCTACTAGAATCATAGACTCCCTATTTGGTGGAAGTGGGCCATGGCTAACCCCACCTAACCTACACATTCCTGGACACAATGGCGCAGTTTAGCATGGCCAATCCACCTAACCTGCACATCTTTGGACTGTGCGAGGAAACCGGAGCCCCCAGAGGAAACCCACGCAGAAGCAGGGAGCACGTGCAAACTCCACACAGCCTGTTGCCTGAGGATACAATCGAACCCAGGTCCTTGGTGCTGGGTTAACCATTGACTCATCACTCTTTCAGGAAAAACACTTCCAGTTTTTCTAACCCCTCCTTGTAACTGCAACCCCTCCATCCTTGGTGAACCACCTTTCTAACAATCCTTTCTAAGGCCTAAAGGTGCCCAGAATTGCTCAGCTGAGGCATAATTAATGATTTGTTAACTTCCACCTCTGTTTAGTCTTCATATTCTGTTTTAAAAACCAAAGTTCTTTAATCACCTGATTGGTTTCTCCTTGCACTTTTTGAGGATTTGTGCACTATAGACATTCACAGTCTTTCTGCCCAACCATGTTTTTCAAAACCATGCCATTTAAAAAAACATTGTTTGATCGCTCTCCTGTGCAGTTCCTTGGGTTGTATTGTGTTACAGACACAAGATAACATGTGTTGTTGTTGTAGATAGATAATTTGTCCGCTTTGGTTGCGCTACATGGGCATAAGCAAAACAACAGAGGAAGGAAGGAACACTATATTCCTGAAGATCCATTTTATATTGTAGTTACATGGAGGCATGAAAATCTGGTAGTATTGGATGAGGCTGAAACGTCCCATTTTCCTAAGTCATGGAGTCATAGAGCTGTACAGCATGGAAACAGACCCTTGGGTCCAACTCATCCATGCCACCCAGATATTCTAAATTAATCTAGCAATTGGTCCAATTTGTATGCTCTGACCAAACATCCCAATCTGACCTAGTCCCATTTGCCAGCATTTGGCCCATTTCCCTCTAAACCGTTCCTATTCATGTACCCATCCAGATGCATTTTAAATGTTGTAACTGTACCAGCCTCCACCACTTCCTCTGGCAGCCCATTCTACACACAGACCATACTCTATGTGAAAAGGTTGCCCCTTTGTTCCTTTTAAGTCTTTCCCTTCTCACCTTAAACCTATGCCCTCTAGTTGTTGACACCCCTACCCTGGGAAAAATACCTTGGCTATTAACCCTGTCCATGTACTCCATAAGGTCACACCTCAGCCTCTGATCTAGATGCAGAGTATAGAACAGGATGTTAGTAAGAGAATAAGTCAATAAAAATTTTTAAGAGATATTAAGCAATAATAGTGAGTCAGTGGGTTGCTTGCACTCTGGCCCCTTGTGTGTGAATGAATTCCCCAAAATCTACCGCTGGAGTTCTGATTATCTTGTCTCCCAAGTAATTCCAATGGCATTGGGCAAAATTCCATCGAAAGATCTCCAAGTGTTCTCAGTCACAAAGACAGTGGCAGTGCCGACGAGTCCAGGTCTGAGAGATCCCAGCAAAACCAACACTGTAGAGCTCTTTAGTCCTGAGAGAGTGCTGTAGTTGCCTGATGGGATGTTAACCCAAGGCCCAGACTGCCTGATGCTGATTTGTTGTCAGACAGGTGTAAAAGATTCCATGACGGTATTTGAAGAAGAGCAGGTTCTCCCATTGGAATTGTAATTGTGCCTTCTGTAAGTAACCTTGAGAACACACTAACTGACTTGCTGTGTGCAAACTGGCTGTGTAGTGCGTCTGCACTTCAGCAGTAGTTCGCTGGCTCCGAAATATTTCTGGATCCCTTTAAAGCTGTTAAAGTTTATTGGTTCATTTTTTTCCTGTCATTTCTGTTTTCATCCCTGACCCTATCTTGCTCTCTCAGTACAGGATCTGTGCCTAGATCTGCCAGTTATTGAGGAAAGGTGTTGGGTATCCAGAGTTTGGACAGACTGGAGACCCCTGCAGTGGGCAGTACAGAAATTGAAGGACCCCACAAATGTCTTTGAGCCTCCAGGTTGGTACAGAAGCTGCTGGCTGACCACCAGGGATCGTGGGAAACAGAGGGCCCTGTTTGCCGCATTGAGAGCATTGAAGATAATTAAATTGTTGAGGTTGGTTGGCTCGCCGAGCTGGTTTGTTGTTCCACAGACGTTTCGTTACCGTGCTTGGTAATATCCTCAGTGCAGCCTCTGATGAAGCGTCGGTGTGTTTTCCCGCCTGGTTTTTAGACTCTGAGGTCCGTTGCGATGGATTGCTTCACTTCCAGTTTTCCTCTGTAGTGGAATGTATACGGGGTCGAGTTCAATGTGTTTATTAATAGCCTGCTTTGTGGAGTGCCATGCTTCCAGGAATTCTCGAGCTTGTCTCTGCCTAGCCTGTCCCAGGATCTTGGTGTTGTCCCAGTCGAAGTCGTGGTTCTCCTTGTCCATGTAGATTGAGATGAGTGAGTATTGGTCGTGCCTTTTTGTAGCCAGTTGGTGTTCATGTACTCTTGTTGTTAGTTTCCTTCCTGTTTGTCCGATGTAGTGTTTCACGCAGTCTCGGCAGGGGATCTTGTAGATGACATTGGTCCTGTCCATGGCGGGGAGTGGGTCTTTAGTTCGGGTGAGCATAGAATCTTTCTGATGCTGTTCCTGTAGCCATTTCCTGACCCAGATTCTACACGCCCCGACACACTCATCACACTACCCTACATCAGGAACAAGTCAGAACTCACCACAAGACTTCTACGACCGCTAGGCATCAGAGTGGTGCACAAGCCCACATCAACCCTACGACCAGTGCTCACCCGAACTAAAGACCCACCCCCCGCCATGGACAGGACCAGTGTCATCTACAAGATCCCCTGCAGAGACTGCGAGATACACTACATCGGACAAACGGGAAGGAAACTAACAACAAGAGTACACGAACACCAACTGGCTACAAAAAGACACGACCAATACTCACTCATCTCAAACCTCATGGACGAGGAGAACCACGACTTCGACTGGGACAACACCAAGATCCTGGGACAGGCTAGGCAGAGACAAGCTCGAGAATTCCTGGAAGCATGGCACTCCACGAAGCAGGCTATTAATAAACACATTGAACTCGACCCCGTATACGTTCCACTACGGAGGAAACCTGGAAGTGAGGCAATCCATCGCAACGGACCCCAGAGTTTAAAAACCAGGCGGGAAAACACACCGACGCTTCATCAGAGGCTGCACTGAGGATGTTACCAAGCACGGTAATGGAACAACAAACCAGCTCGGCGAGCCAACCAACCTCAACACCCACAACCCGAGCTACAGATCTACTCCAAAACCTTAGATAATTAAATTGCATAGACAATCAGACAAGGGGATGTGTTGCAAGATTTGTTGAAGGCTGATTTCATGGAATAATTCTCATAAAGTCATACAGCACGGAAACAGTTCATGCTGACCATAATCCCAAACTGCCTGCACTTGGCCCATATCCCTCCAAACATTTCTTATTCATGTCCTTATCCAAATGTCTTTTAAACATTGTAACTGTACCCACACCCACCACTTCCTCTGGAAGTTCAGTTCTCACACGAACCACTCTGTGTGTGTTTTTAAAAAAAATTAAAATTGCCCCTCATGTCTTTTTTTAAATCTTTCTCCTCTCACCTGAAAAATTATGTCCCCTAGTTTTGAAATCCCCCAGCCTAGAGAAAAGACACCTGCCATTCACCTTTTACCAAACCCCTCAAGACTATGTCAACTTCAAACAAAGGACAGTAAATGTCTGAAACGCTCCCCACTTTAAAACTGCAGAGAGTGCAACTCCATTGAAAGCTGAGATTATTTATTCGGGAGTATTGTTTATTCGGGAGTATTGAGGATTTTAGAACCGAGACAGATGGTTGATGTTAAGGTATAGATCAGCCTAACCCAAAATGAATGGAAGAATGAGCACGATTGACTGAATACCTATGTTCGTAAATGCTAAAGAATATTAACTGTTGTGTGTTGGTCAAACATCTGTTGAGGAGATGGAGAGGAGGGGTCTCAGTGATTCACGTGAGGACTGCATGAGGTGTGTTTCTGTTTCTCGCCTGATCTTCCATGGAGAAGCAAGGTCCTGGCTTTCGCCAAAGAGAGGAGGTACAAGATCCTCCAGGTTTTAATTTGGGGATTTGTTTTCTCCCTGTCCTTTCTTTTTATACAATCTGTATTTGCAGTAGCTGGACCCCACAGTACGATGTAAGGGCTGATAGTTCCTGCAGTATTTCACTTAAAGAGAAGCCATTCTTTGTTGACCCAGACAATGACATTTATGCAAATTTAGAGGATATCACCAGTGACCTCAATTGTTCATTTTACTGGAGGCATTCTTGCTCTCGCTCTCCCTTTATGTCCCCTAACCCACCCACAACCCTACACACACCACCTCTGTTCCATGGCCTCATTGGGAGAATATTGGCCCTTTCCTTGACTGTGTGGTGCCTTTAGATTCTGAGCCACTCGTGAGAGTTTGCAATCAAGGGACTGATACAGAACAATGACCTGCAGAGTAGGTTTTTGGTGTAAGTATAAATTCCAAATATGATTTGTAACGTCAAAATTCTTTCTTTTGACCAATTTTGCTGATCGTCTATTTTTCTTCTGTGAAATGTCTTGGCAAATTCCTACCTTGATGGCACTAACGAAATGAAAGTTGTTGATATTTAGAGTTAATATTGCTGTTCCTTTACTCAAAGCAGCTTCATCCCATCAGACTTGTGTTTTGGAGTGCAGTGATGGTCATGGAGCACCAGGCTCTACTTTGATTTATGTCTTGGGATCTTTAACCAAAACCATCAGGACACCGCGAGAGAGCGTTGAATCAATTCTCGTCCACAGACCAGTTCCTCAAAAGGTTCAGCTTTAGGATGTCAGCTAAGAGTATAAACCCAACATTGGTCTGATTATGTGACTGATGGGAGACAGTGGTAATGCCACTACACTAATAATGAAGGCCCCAAGTTAATTGTCAGGGTTCATGCTTTCAAATACCACCACATAGGGGAGGTGATGGACTGTTAGTCCAGCGACCCAGAAAACATTCTGGGGACCCAGGTTTGAATCCCGCCATGGCAGATAGTGGAATTAAAATTCAATAAAACAAATGGAATTAAGAGTGTAATGATGACTGTGTCTCCATTGCCGATTGTTGGAAAAACCCATCTGGTTCACTTTAGGGAAGGAAACTGCCATCCTTACCTGGTCTGGCCTACATGTGAGTCCAGACCCTCAGCAATGTGGGTGATTCTGAACTGCCCTCTGGGCAATTAGGGATGGGCAATAAATGCTGCCTATCCAGCAATGCCCTCATCCCATAAATGAATAAAGAAAACACGGCTGTTGAAATCTAAATTCAGTCACAATATAAACCAAGTGTCTATAATGGGAGATGGTGACAACAACCCTGGTTCACCAATGCCCTTTATTTTTAGGGAAGGTAGTTGGCCATCCTTGCTCACTCTGGCCTACATGTGGTTTTAGACCCTTCGTAGTGAGATTTCCTCTGAGCCACCCTGCGCAAGCCAGTCTGTTCAAGGACACTTAGGGCAGGTCAACAAATGCTGATCTTGCCTGTGACCTCCTACGTCCCATGACAGAATTAAGAAAAGAAAATATTTGTTCCAATTCCAAACTCACTCTGTGTGAGACTTGGCGGAAATTTTGAAATTCTCTCCTAAACTCCTAACTCTGTCGGGGAGTCTTCCGGAAGATATCATATCCAAAGATAGCGTATTGATTCTGCTGGCGAATTACATGCGGTCACAGTTATACTATTACAACACATAAGTTGTAGTTACCTAATCACGTACAGGCTATTGACCAACTCCACAATTCCACACAACTGTTATTAACTATCCTATCTCAATCCAGTTTACTTGTGTAATTCATTAGTTCCTTATAAAACTTATAAGACACCCAACTGCATTCTTATGATATCCTTCAACATCCACCAGCACCTACTCCCCCTTGTGCTGACTACACAGTGATAACATAAAGCTTGCTAAGGTATCCCTTCTATGTAGACTTCATGTCATTTTTAATACTTGCTACTTTCCACAAAAGGGAATGGAGTATAAAAGTAGGAAGGTTTTGCAAAAATTGAACAAGGCATTAGTCAGACCAACAGCTCCACTACTGTGAACTTATTTGGTGGGCAAATTATTGGAGAGGATTCTGAGAGATAGTATTTATGATTACTTGGAAAAGCACAGTTTGATTAGAAATAGTCAGCATGGCTTTGTGAGGGGCAGGTCATTGCCTCACAAGCCTTATTGAATTCTTTGAGGATGCGACAAAACACATTGAAGGTAGAGCAGTGGATGTGGTGTATATGGATTTTAGCAAGGCATTTGATAAGATTCCCAATGGTAGGCTCATTCAGAAAGTAAGGAGGCATGGGATTCAGGGAAATTTGGCTGTCTGGATACAGAATTGGCTGTCCAACAGAAGACAGAGGGTGGGAGTAGATGGAAAGTATTCAGCCTGGAGCTTGGTGACCAGTGGTGTTCCGCAGGGATCTGTTGTGGGACCTCTGCTCTTCGTGATCTTTATAAATGACTTAGATGAGCAAGTGGAAGAGTGATTTAGTAGGTTTGCTGATGACACAAAGGTTGGGGGAGTTGTGGACAGCGTGGAGGGCTGTTGTAGGTTACAATGGGACATTGACAGGATGCAGTGCTGGACAAAAGTGACAAATGGTATTCAACCTGGAAAAGTGTGAAGTGATTCATTTTGGAAGGTCGAATTTGAATGCAGAATACAGGGTTAATGGCAGGATTCTTGGCAGTGTGGAGGAACAGAGGGATCTTGGGGTCCACGTTCATAGATCCCTCAAATTTGCTACCCAAGTTAATAGGGTTGTTAATAAGGTGTATGGTGTGTTGGCTTTCATTGGCAGGGGAATTGAGTTTAAGAGCCGCGAGGTTATGCTGCATCTCTATAAAACCATGATTAGACCACAGTGGGAATATTGTGTTCAGTTCTGGTCGCCTCATTATAGGAAGAATGTGGAAGCTTTAGAGAGGGTGCATAGGAGATTTACCAGGATGCTGCCTGGACTGAAGGGCAGGTCTTATCCGGATAGGTTGAGGGAGCTAGGGCTTTTCTCATTGGAGCGAAGAACGATGAGAGGTGACTTGATAGAGGTGTACAAGATGATGAGAGGCATAGATAGAGTGGATACTCGGAGACTTTTTCCCAGGGCGGAAATGACTATTACGAGGGGGCATAATTTTAAGGTGATTGGAGGAAGGTAAAGGGGAGATGTCCGAGGTAGGTTCTTTACACAGAGACTGGTGGGTGCGTGGAATGCACTGCCAGCGGTGGTAGTAGAGTCAGATACATCAGGGACATTCAAGCGACTCTTGGACAGGCACATGGATGATAGTAAAATGTAAGGTCGGCAGGGTAGAATTAGAGTTTGCACATTTAAGACAAAGATAAGGAGGAATTTCTTCTTTAAGAGGGTAATGAATGTGTGGAATTCTTTATCACAGAGGGCTATAGGGGCCGGGTCATTAAATATGTTAGAGGCTGAGACAGATAAAGATTTTTAATCAGTTGAGGAATCGTGGTTTATGAGGAAGGGGCAGGAACGTGGACAGAGGATTATCAGATCACCCATGATTGTTATTACAGTCTTAACCAGTTCTAGTAACTTGTATTGTCTGACTCTTCCCTTTTCAGGTAAGAATTTAAATGCTTATTGTTGCAAGATTCAGGGACTAATCTTGCTTCATTTATGGAATGTGTAACATGTAGCTCACCAGTTTGTGTCTGCGCTCTGTCCGAAGTCTATCCAGAGTTGGCACAAAGGATTGAAAATAGTTGAAAAGCATGCCTTCAAAGTTGATTGTGTTGTATAAATAGAAGGTACACCCTGAAGATTGTTGGATTATGGAAGGTAAAACACTGGCATCCCCAGCAACATTAGCTCCATCTCGCTTGCACTATTAATCCAGTAATCTGATATACTCATTTTAATGCAGGGCCTGGCAAGGTTTACCTCCAGGGGTTTCTCTTGCAAACTCTTGTACTCAATACCCCGTCCGATGAATGAAAGCATGCCGTATGCCTTCTTGACCACTCTATCGACCTGCGTTGCCACCTTCAGGGTACAATGGACCTGAACACCCAGATCTCTCTGTGTATCAATTTTTCCCAGGGCTTTTCCATTTACCATATAGTTCACTCTTGAATTGGATCTTCCAAAATGCATCACCTCGCATTTGTCTAGATTGAACTCCATCTGCCATTTCTCCATCCAACTCTCCAATCTATCTATATTCTGCTGCATTCTCCGACAGTCCCCTTCACTACCTGCTACTCCACCAATATTAGTGTCATCTGCAAACTTGCTAATCAGACCATTTATACTTTCCTCCAGGTCATTTATGTATATCACAAACAACAGTGGTCCCAACACGGATCCCTGTGGAACACCACTGGTCACATTTCTCCATTTTGAGAAACCCCCTTCCACTACAACTCTGTCTCCTGTTGCCCAGCCAGTTCTCTATCCATTTAGCTAGTACACCCTGGACCCCATGCAACTTCATTTTCTCCATCAGCCTACCATGGGGAACCTTATCAAACGCCTTACTGAAATCCATGTATATGACATCTACAGCCCTTCCCTCATCTATCAACTTTGTCACTTCCTCAAAGAATTCTATCAAGTTGGAAAGACATGGCCTTCCCTGCACAAAACCATGCTGCCTATCACTAATAAGCCCATTTTCTTCCAAATGTAAATAGATCCTATCCCTCAGTATCTTCTCCAGCAGCTTCCCCACCACTGACGTCAGGCTCACCGGTCTATAATTACCTGGATTATCCTTGCTACCCTTCTTAAACAAGGGGACAACATTAGCAATTCTCTAGTCCTCCAGGACCTCACCCGTGCTCCAGGATGCTGCAAAGATATCTGTTAAGGCCCTAGCTATTTCCTTTCTCACTTCCCCCAGTAACCTGGGATAGATCTCATCCAGACCTAGGGACTTGTCCACCCTAATGCCTTTTAGAATACCCAACACTGCCCCCCCGCCGCCATGCCGATTTGACCTAGAGTATTCAAATGTCTATCCCTGACCCCAACATCCGTCATGTCCTTCTCCTCGGTGAATACCGACGCAAAGTACTCATAAAAATCTCACTCATTTTCTCTGACTCCTGGCATAACTTCCCTCCTTTGTCCTTGAGTGGGACAACCCTTTCGCTGGTTACCCTCTTGCTCCTTATGTACGAATAAAAGGCTTTGGGATTTTCCTTAACCTTGTTTGCTAAAGATATTTCATGACCCTTTTAGCCCTCTTAATTCCTCGTTTCAGATTGGTCCTATTTTGCCGATATTCTTCCAAAGCTTCCTCTGTTTTCAGTCACCTAGACCTTGTGTATGCTTCCTTTTTCCTCTTTGCTAGTCTCTCAATTTCACCTGTCATCCATGGTTCCCTAATCTTGCCCTTTCTATCCCTCATTTTCACAGGGACATGTCTGTCCTGCACTCTAATCAACCTCTCTTTAAAAGCCTCCTACATATCAAATGTGGATTTACCCTCAAACAGCTGCTCCCAATCCACATTCCCCAGCTCCTGTCCAATCTTGCTATACTTGGCCCTTCCCCAATTTAGCACTCTTGCTTTAGGACCACTCTCGTCTTTGTCCATGAGTATTCTAAAACTTACGGAATTGTGATCACTATTCCCAAAGTAATCCCCTACTGAAACTTCAACCACCTGGCCGGGCTCATTCCCCAACACCAGGTCCAGTATGGCCCCTTCCCAAGTTGGACTATTTACATACTGCTCCATAATGTACTTCTTATGTTGGAATGCATTTTTGTGTGTAACAAAAAATGCTGGACAAACTCTACAAGTTTGGTCGCATCTGTGGAGAGAAAAACCAGGTTAACAGGAGGCAGGGTAACTCGGTGGTTAGCACTGCTGCCTCACAGCACCAGGGACAAAGGGTTCAGTTCCACCCTTGGGCGACTGTCTGTGTGGAGTTTGCACATTCACCCTGTGTCTGCGTGGGTTTCCTTTGGGTGCTCTGGTTTCCTCCCACAGTCCAAAGATGTGCAGGTTAGGTGGATCGGCCACGCTATATTGTTGCATAGTGCCCAGGGATGTGCCGGCTGGGTGGACTAGCCATGGGAAGTTCAGGGTTACAGGGATAGGCTAAGAAGGCATGTCCGAATGGGATGCTCTTCAGAGAGTCAGTGTAAACTCGATGGGCCGAATGGCTTGCTTCCACACTATAGGGATTCTGAGAGTCCAGTGTTAGTCTTCAATTCAGAAGAAGGGACATATCAGACTCAAAACTTTAACTCTGTTCCTCTCTCCACAGACCCACTGAGTCTTCAGCATTCTCTGTGTTTGTTTCGGAATTCCAGTGCCTGCAGTATTTTGCTTTTATTATTTGTGTGTGTGTGTCCTCGGTTTACACAATATTCACTGTTTGCAAGAGAATGTTTTCACACGTTAATCTGTTTGCATTTTGAAAAGTCGAAGGATACTTAATGCTGGCATTTTTTTTAACGAAAGGAGAAAAATGTTTTGTTTTGCATTTCTTCAGATAACTTCCAGATTTTAAAGGTGCATTATTTCCTTTTTCTCCTTTTCAGACTTGTCTCATTTCACAAATTTTAACTCAGCCGACCAAAGATCACTCTAGGCATAGGTGGATCTTTCCCTGAAGAAACTTCTGGAAGGTTGAGTGTAAACTTTGTGAGAATGGTAAGTATCACCATCCTTTAAAAGGCGCTGAAGCTTTTAAACCTTCGGTTGCGTGAGCAACAACAAAGGTGATTTATTATTTAATGACTTGCTTGTTTCAATGTTACAGTAGGCTTGTCAGCATGTTCATGAATAACTTTGTGCTGAAACTTTTCATGTGGGTGTAGTTTGATATAGATTTTATTGTCACATGTACTCAAGAACATATTTAACTATAATGTAGGCATTTAGGTGTAAAATGAACAGCAGTTCATCAAATGGAAAATATTTGTACAATATCTCAGTTGGCGCAGTATTCTGATCTCCCTGACAGACACAAGCTTCCAGCACCACCTGAGTTTGAAAGAAGCCATCCCTATTTCAAAGTAGTTTCAGAGATAGTAGGAACTGCAGATGCCGGAGAATCTGAGATAACAAGGTGTAGAGCTGGATGAACACAGCAGGCCAAGCAGCATCAGAGGAGCGGGAAGGCTGACGTTTCGGGCCTAGACCCTTCTTCAGAAAAGATCTAGGTCCGAAACGTCAGCCTTCCTGCTCCTCTGATGATGCTTGGCCTGCTGTGTTCATCCAGCTCTACACCTTGTTATCCCTGTTTCAAAGTATTCTACTTTTGAGTATTAGTAGTTCCTGGTTTGACAAGGGGTTGGTTGTGCAGCATGGCTTTTACCCACTTCTGCATTTTATTTTGAGCACTTTTTTTTGTTTTGAGTTTCGGTCATTGCCATGATCTTGTGGATTATGATGTGGAGGTGTCGGTGTTGGATTGTGGGTGGACAAAGTCCAGAGTCACATCACCAGGTTATAGTCCAACAGGTTTAGTTGAAATCAGAAGCTTTCAGAGCGCTGCTCCTTCATCAGATGAAGTGGACTTCACCTGGCAAAGGGGCAATGCTCCAAAAGCTTGTGATTTCAGATAAATCTGTTGGACTATAACCCAGTGTCATGTGACTCCTGACCTTGTGGATTAGCCCATTGCCTCCTTGACTTCAGGCTCTTGAGTCCCCAGTCCAACTTGCTGAGGGGATAAAAGTCTTGTAAGGACCGATTTGAAAAGCATCTCTACCATTTTGTGATTCACATGGGGTCACGGGCATATAACTGTCCAATGCAGGAAGAAACGGCTTAGAGGAAGCCACCGTACAAAGTGATAAAGCTCAGGCCGAAGGTTAAATGGTGTTGAGGAAAAAGAAAGGCCTTTTTTTTTTGTTCCTTGCTGCAGATGACACTATTTGCCTCAGCCCCAGCCAACAAGCCTGACTGCCTGGGTTGCAGTTTTATCATTGCTTTTGCCTCCTACCCCATGGTTTCTCCATTGGCAGTGCCAGTTATTGAAGGGAAATACGCTGTACAATACTGTAGCCCCAGGGGGCTTGAGGGATCGCCAAATTGATGACAGTTTGGTCCTGGGATCCGGATAGAGACTGCTCCAACTCAATTGAAAGAGACCCCTTGTCGATAAAAGAGTGAGTGGAAGTGTTCATCTACTGGATGGGAACAAACAACTCTGAGGTGAAAGATCAGTTACTGACCTATAGTAACCTCAAAGTGTCATTGTAAGTAATGTTAGTTTACGTTGTAGGATGAAAACATTATTATGAGCAATTTCTGAATCACATCCTAGAGAGATGCTGCTTGTAGTGATATACAGTTTAAACAGAATTTAAAACTAGCTGCTGCTCTATACTAAAATTTCAAATACATTCCAGTCATATTCTAAAATAAATGTACTTCCTAGTTTGAATGCTGTTGTTTCTGTGCTTTGAGAAATTACGATGGTGATGAGAGGGGAAAACCACTGAGAATTAGCTTTAATATTCATATTCCTAGATCCCACCTCAATCATGCAGTAACCAGACCAAGAAATCAATTGGTGATACAGTCTCGCCTTTTAATACTCATGTGCAGGAGCATGTCTTCTGTTCTTGAAACATCTTTGTATTTAAAAAAAAATTCCAAGATGGTCATTTGCTCTTTACAATAATAAACACCAAACGCCTCGTTTACGAAAGCTACAAGCCAACCCTTTGCTATTTATCTCTGAAAATAATCTTCCACAACTTTATAAGCTGCAACTGGATACAATCTCGATCTCCTTTATTCCAAATGCCTTGTTTATTTTTCAAACCTTGCTTCATAGCTTCAACTTTTCATTCTGTGATTGTGGGTAGTCTTTCTCAAGAAATCATCTCTCCCCTTGTCCATGATATAATCCGGTTCCAACAAACATCACTCAGAATTCCAACCATCAGTTGTATTGTCCAAAAGCAAGAACGGATTAATTTTCTGCAATCTTGCATGATAATCCTCAAGGACCATGATAATCTTTGGAGACCAGCAAGGGTGCATGGACAACTTAGTCTCCTGTGGTTGGGGAGTTTGTGCAGGTCTAATGGGATGAATGCATTAGGTTTTTTTTCCTGTTATTTATCAAACTAGATAAAATAAAATCTTCATCACACACAAGTCATCAACGCGAGTGGTAACATTTTGCTTATCAATGTCAGTGAGCAGGAATGACATTACCGTATCAGCTACATTCTCCATTTTTGGAACCAGTTTTGCAGTTTGTAGTCCTTACTCCACATGATCCTAGGAACGGGGGTAGATCGCTGAACACTACAACTTGTGCCACCTTTCAGTTAGATCATGGCTGAAGAGTACCTCGATGACACCTACCTGTCTTGAACCCCTATTCCATAATCAGAATTAGGTTTAGATTCATTGTCACATGAATATAAAAATACAGTGAAATGTGTTTTTGCACATGCAAAACGCAGAGTGTGGCCGTGCTCCCCTGCCAGTTTATAAAACACAGAATGTAACGCAGTAGAGTTCACCTTTCCCTCCTCTTCTTGTTACCCCCCTCTGCTACTCCTCCATTCATTGCTTGATCTTGGCCAGCTTCTCTGTAACGGGCTCTGGAGTCTCCGTTACAGGCCCCGTCTCCACCGTTGCAGTCACTCCCGCAGCCACTGTGTCCAAGCTAGAGCCATGGGCCTGGTCTCCTACTTCCAGCACCACTCTTTCCCCCCCCCCCCCCCCAACCTTCCTTCCAGACGTTGCTGCCAGTCATCAGTCACTGGGGTCCTAGCTCCGGGCTCCTCCTCCGCCAATGCTGACCTTTTGCAACCTCAGAACTGGAGCCAGCCATGGGTCTCAGACTGTGTGGGGCCTGGCCCCAACTGATTTTTTTTCTTTTTTTCCCCCCCACCCCCGGGGGGGGAAAAACCACAGAAAGGCCTGATATCTTTAAATGAGCAAAATTCAATGAAACGCAGCCTTCGTTGCTCCAACTGACCAGCCCAGTGGATTCTAGCTTTCCGATGGAGAGAGTTTCAGATTTCCACAATCCTTTGTGTGAAAGAAGGCTTCCTGGTTTTAGATCTTGTGGTTAGCAAATGGAAGGAGTTGAGGTGAACAGCAACAAAAGAACAAAACACAGAAAATGCTGGAGAAACTCAGCAGGTCTGGTAACGTCTGCCTATAACAGGAATGATATTATGAAGCTGGAGAGGGTTCAGAAGAGATTTACCGGGATGTTGGTGGGAGTGGAGGGTTTCAGTTATAACAAGACGATGGATAGGCTGCAACTTCTTTTCCCTGGAGTGTTAGGAGATTGAGGGATGACCTTTATAGAGGTACATAAAATCATTAGGGGCAAAGATAAATTGAATGCCAGGTGTCTTTTCCCAAGGGTGGGGGATTTCAAGATAATGGGACATATTTTTACGGTGAGAGGAGAAATATTTATAAAAGACAAGGGCAGTATTTTTAGACAGAGTTGTTTGTGTGGAAAGAACTTCCAGAGGAAGTGGTGGATGGGGGTGTAGTTACAATGGTTAAAGGACATTTGGATAAGTACATGGACAAAAAATGTTTAGAGGGATATGGGCCAAGCGCAGGCAGGTGGGACTAATTTAGTTTGGGATTATTGGCGGCATGGACTGGTAGGACCGAAGGATCTGTTTCCGTGCTGCGTGACTCTGACTCTATTACCAGGGTTGGAAGGTTTCAGCTACAGGGAGAGGCTGAATAGGCTGGGGCTATTTTTCCTGGAGCGCCAGAGGCTGAGGGATGACCTTCCAGAGGCTTATAAAATCATGAGGGGTATGGAGATGGTAAATAGGTAAGGTTTTTCCCCTGGGGTGGGGCAGTCCAAAACTAGAGGGCTGAGTTTTTCCAGCATGTGTTTGTTTCAGATTTCTAGCATTTTCCTGTTGAGTGAACAGTTGAGCCGAAGCTGCTAAACATGAGGGAGAAAAACAGAGACGGGTGAGGTGAAGATTAGAAGGAGGCTTGTGTGGACCGAAAATTTCTCCGGCATTTCTCAGATGGGCTGAATGGCCTACTTCTGCCCTGTACAATCTATGTAACAAGTGACATGTCTGACATCTTAATATCTTAAAACGTAATACTTTGAGGTCAGCGGTAGGTAAGGTCCTTTTACTAATGGGCACTGGGAGTTTCCCCATTCTTCACTGCAATTTCCTTACCAGCAAAATGATCCACTGCAAGACTGCATTGCTCAGGCTGTGCTCTGAGCAGAGTTTCGGTAGTACGTTATTAATTATGGAGAAAAATAGGCTTTTACTCATTTTTCATGAGAGGAGGAGCTAGAGGTACAGAGGTCATGATGATGTGCTTCTCTGTGAACTGCAGCACAGGTAATATAAGAACATCAATTCCTGCTGACCATATTAGTGCATGGAATGCTAATGCCTTGTGACATTTCACTGTTATTTTTATGGGAACTGTTACCCTATTCCTTTTTAAATAGATTTATGCCACTGCTAATAAATCAGGCAGTTGAAAGTCTGACAATTGCTTTGGGCATTTATCTATGAGTAGGCCCAAGAGAGATTCCTCATCTGTAATGACCTACGTCACCCTGTCAACCAGTGACCTAGGATGTGACAACAGTGTGAGAATTCTCTTGCTCATTAAATTAGCCTCACTGTACACATTTCTGTGAAGAATCAAAAACTAGTTGACCTGTCCCCTTCTTCTGATTCTTCCTCGCTAGCTGTCGAATCCGTTAGATCCAAATCCAGATAGACCTTTTGATGTCCTGTTGGTCAGGCTCCTACAGCTTGGATGTATAAACAAAAGCAGGTGTTTTTAACATGTGTAAGCTCTGCGTTAACAAAGTCATCGAGGAGTCAGAAGCAGTTTTGTCCTCCACTCTGAGCGGATCGAGGATACTTTTCAACCTTATAAAGTCAGATGATGATAAAGTAAACCAAGACACCAACTGATCTACGTCATCCTGGATTTATTTGCAGAATACCACATTATCTGTACCTGTGTCTGCTTTCTCCTGGCAGTCTTTCTTTATAGATGTGCAAGGTACTTTTCCTTTTATTCTTTTATTTTTAAAACCTGTAGTACTCTTACAACTGTTTTTTGTTTTCTTCTTACCAAATCACCCGTGATATTTTTTTAAATTTATTAACTACCACTAATAAGTCACCTGTAATTTTGGACTGATTAGTTTACATACAAAAATTCTGACCATCACAGTTGAGGGAGAGGTAAGGAAGGGTCTAAATCAAAATGGATATGTTCAATGAATCAATGAATACTTTTCACTTGTGCATTGTAAACATTGATAACATAATTGACAAGCTATTAACAGATCCTTTTGTCACCAGAGATTGTTTTCTTGATTTTTTTTTTTTCTCTTCGGTATTCTCCTGTGAGTGAGACGCACAACAGGTGTGATTGAACTGACAGATAAATCAACCAATAAATGTGGGATAAGCTACTTAATACGCTGGATAGATGAATGTCGCATTTAAGATGTTCTTGCAAACAATTATTGTTAATTTTAACTGAGAACAAAAAATGCTGGAGATCACGGTGGGTGAGGCAGCATCCAGGGACAGAAAGCAAGCTCACGTTTCGAGTCCAATTTCAGCAGCTGCAGTATTTTATTCCTACACTGTTAATTTTAAATCTATGATAAATCAATTTTTGTTAAGCAAAGTTATTAGGGGATGTGGACCAAAGACAGGTATGTGAAGTTAGGCCACAGATCAGCCATGATCTCATTGAATGCCAGAACAGGCTCGAGGGGCTGAATGGCCTCCTCCTGTTCCTGATTACATTTTAAAAAAGGCCATTCAGCCCAATACAAGTAACTTCTCAATCCTCTGCAGCCCTTTTTCTCTGGGAACTCTCATTTCCCTTCCACTTGATATATCCCTTTAAGTTTTTTTTAATGCTATGTTTGCATTTCCTTCCCTCACTGCAGCTTTCCTTCTGGCTCAGTTCCAGATGCGAGAAAATGATATTGATGGTTATTCAAGATAAAAAGGTACCACGGGGAATTTTTGCCTCTAATTTTAGAAGCAGCTGGAGAGTGAGCAACTTCTGTGCCACCTGAGAGCTGACTCAGTGTGCGTCTCCTCACGGATTCGCCTTAAGTGGAGGAACAGCTGGAGTTAGACAAGTGGTACTGAACAAACTGTGCTTCAAATTTAATTCTTGCCCTCACCCGGCTAATTGGCTGAAGCCTGAAATCCATGTGATCAAATCAACCGCCGCCTCCCCACCCCCAAACCTGGAATATCGCCACAGGAGCAAAAGTGAAAGTTGCTAAAATTCTTGGTCAACGTCCACATACAAACGAAGATAACAGGAGCAGGAGTAGGCCATTCGGCCCTTCTTGAGCCTGCTGCATCGTCCAATGTGATCATCCAATTGGGTATCCTATTCCCACGTTCTCCCCATGCCCTTTGGCCCTAAGAACGATGTCTAACTACTTCTTGAAAACATCCAGTGTTTTGACCTCAATCACTTTCCATGGCAGAGAATTCCGCAGGCTCACCGCTCCCTGGAATAAACAAAGTTCTCCTCATCTCAGTCCTAAATGACCTACCCCATCTCCTTTAGACTATGATGTTGGCTATTGTAGGTTGGTTGAATGGCACTGTGCTTTGCAGATAATAATAATATTTTCACTTTTCGGGGTATTGATAATTGATATGATTTGACCTGCCACAGTGCGTGTTGTTGGATTCTCCCAGTTACTCAGGCTGTCAATGGCCAAGCACCTATACAGCTCCAATATTCAGGTAGAAGAACACATTCTATTGACAAACATTTCCTCCCTCACTTTAAATACACCTTTCATTTCCTAACCCCAACTATTAACCTGTTTAAAAAGCAAGGTTGCGAGGTGGGAAATGTGGCAATGTGAGTATTTCCATTATCCCAATGGGACTGAGGAGTGAAGGAAGAAGATTCAGTCACTTAGCCTGTCGTTTGTGTTCGTCCATTCAGTTCTACCAAAGCTGATCTAATGTCATAAACCCACACTTATCCCAGATATTGCTTTTAATATCTTCGTTGAACAAAAAGAACCACGAGCCTTTTAAAACTAATCATCAACCCATCATCAAGTGCCCAATCCCGATGAGTCACAGAGTTGTACAGCATGGAAACAGCCCCTTTGGTCCAACACATCTATGCTGAGAAATACCCTAAATTAATCTAGGACTGTATCCCCTCTATACCCTTCCTATTTGTATACTCATCCAGATACCTTTTAAATGTTGCAATTGTACCCACTTCCACCACTTCCTCTGGCAGCTCATTCCATACACACACCACCCTCTGCCTGAAAAGGTTGCCCCTTAGGTCCCTTTTTAAATCTTTCCTTTCTCCCCTTAAACCTATGCCCTGTAGCTTTGGACTCCCCTTCCTTGGGAAAAAGACCTTCTATTCACCCTATTCCTGCCCCTCCTGATTTTATAACCTCTGACGCACCAGGGAGAAAAGCCCCAGCCTATTGAGCCTATCCCTATAGCACAAACCCTCCAACCTGGCAACATCTTTGTAAATCTTTTCTGAACCCTTTCAAATTTCACAACTTCCTTCCTATAGCAGGAAGACCGGAATTGAGCACCATACTTCAATAGTGGCCTAACCAATGTCCTGTACAGCTGCATCATAACCACTCAACTCCTTTGCTCAATGCACTGACCAATAAAGGCAAGCGTACCAAATGCCGCCTTCATTATTCTGTCTACCTGCAACTCCACTTTCAAGGAACTATGTTCAAGCTTGTATTTCAAAGTTTTCTTTATTTCACTCCTGAAAGATCTGCCTCAGTTTATCTTCAAACCCTCATCCAAAACTCACCAACCAACAGAAGTCGTTTTTATCCAACTGTGCCCATTAAATATCTTAAACTTTGACTAAATGACCCTTTTCGCCCTCTAATTTCCAGGGTATACAGGCCTGCTTTGTGTAATCTCTCGTTGCAATTGAAGCTCTGAAGCCCAGATATTGTTCCGGTAAATCTTCACTGCACTCCTTCCAAAGTCAGTATATCCTTCCCAAGATGTGATACCCACAGCCACTATCAATATTCCAGGTGTGGTCTAACCATGGCTTTGTATAGCGGAAACCTGACTTCTATTCCCCTTTGTTCGAGACCTCCAGATTTAAAGGTCGGCATTTCATTAAATCCATGGATTTCTCTTTTTTTGTTTGTATGTTATCAAAACACTTATGCGCGTGAATACCAAACTCTCTTTGGACCTGAAAGTTGGTGAAATTTGTTCCTTCAGAGATTCGTAAATCTCGGTCATTCTGTAGCCCAGAGGGTTGTGGTTGCTCCTTCATGCTGTATATCCAAGGCTGTGCTAGACAGATCTTTGGGGCATGGGGGAATTATGGTGAAGGGCAGGAAAATGTGAGCTGAGGCAGAAGTTGGCCATCATCATATTAAAAGGCAGACCACAGTCATGGGGTGGGTAGGCAGCAAATGCCCACACGTGTGAATAAAATTGGAAAAAAAAATATTGCCCCATATTAGAAACAAGGCTTTAGCATTGACAGAATCATAGAATCCCTACAGTGCAGAAAGAAGCCATTTGGCCCGTCGAGTCTGCACTGACCCTCCGAAGACCATCTCCTCACTCAGACCACAGTCGATGGGCCAAGCTGCCTAATGAGTAGGAATGTTCTTATTTCTTATGTTATGATCACGGCTGTCTCTTGCGTGCTAATTTGCTCAAGTAATGTTTCCCGTTTCTGTAGTCACAGAGAGTGAAACCAGCGAAAGAGGGCGCCTCGGAGAGAAGTCCTGTTATGGAGGGTGGAATGCAGCTGCTAAACCGCGATGGCCACAGTATCTCCCACAATTCCAAGCGCCACTACCATGATGCTTTTGTATCGATGAACCGAATGAGGCAACGGGGATTGCTGTGCGATATCGTCCTGCACGTGGGCAGTAAAGAAATCAAGGCACACAAACTGGTGCTAGCTTCATGTAGCCCTTACTTCCATGCCATGTTTACCAGTAAGTACCAAGGCTTTCCTTATAGGACTGACACTGGAGAATTAAACCAGCTTGCTGCAGATCCTTTTCCAATGAGATCAGATGCAAAAAAAAATTACCAGGAAAATTTGGAATCAGAAGAAAGCTGCATGTACCAAGTAACTCTCAGCATTTTAAATTGGGGGTAGGCAGCAAATGCTGGCTTTGCCAGCAATGCCCACACATGTGAATAAAATTGATAAAAAAATTATTGCCCCAACTGGCTTCCGACTCTGATTAATGGCGACTCCTGTGAAACTACCAGCTGGGGAGTTTCTACCTCCCTGGGTCAGATTACATTGGGCTGAGACCTTCGATATGTGAGAATAAGCTGTTTGTCTGTGCAGCATTCCACCTTGTTAGATGTTGGGATGGAGGTAAACCCCAGGATGATGTCTACCTCCCATATATCATCATCATCACCAGCTGCAAAAGGTAAAGTGAGTGTGATCTTTCAGATTCACCTGTGATGCCGTAAACTATTTTTCTGTGTTTTGTTTTTGTCTTGCCTGCAGATGAGATGAGTGAGAGTCGCCAAACCCATGTGACATTACATGATATTGACCCTCAGGCCTTAGAGCAGCTTGTACAATATGCCTACACTGCCGAGATTGTGGTGGGCGAAGGAAACGTACAGGTAGATGGCCTCAGTTGAATTTCTCCCAGGATTTGTCATGTTTTCCGTAAGGACTGATGTGATTCACTTTTTTTATATATAAACCCTAGCATTTTGCTTTAGACAGGAGGAGTTTCGGGAGCAAACAGCAATTATTTTCACATTTAACTCCCTCCGTGAAGCTCATCTGAGATTCTTCTGCCTGTCTCCTGACTCACACCAGCCTCATTCACCCATTACCTCATTAGATCCAGCCGCGCTTCTAGCCCAGCTTCTCCAGTACAGCAAAAGCAAGAAATTACTTAAGTATATACGGTCTACAAAAGGCAGGACCAAAAAGCCAAGCAATTTCTGCCCTTTCAAGCTACTTAGAGCAAAGTGATGGAAGGAGTGGTCCTCAGTGCTATCAGGCAGCACCTATTTGCCAATGACCTCACTGGTTCTCCATTTGCATTTTGGAAAGACCACTTGGCTCCTGAGCTGTTACTGTCTTCACTCCAACCTGAACAAAGAGCTGAATTCCAGAGGTCAGGTGAGAGTGATGTTAGAATCAAGGCTGCACTCAGTTGAGTGCAATGTAGAGAAACAGTAACTGTTGGACAAAGAGACTGTTTCCGTGCTGTATGACTCTATGACCATTAGAATTAGGAACACACGAGTAAGTTGTTCAGCCCCTTGAGTCTGCTCCAACATTCAAGAGGATCATGGCTGATCCGACTTTCCTCACTTTTCTGCTTTTTTCCTATAACCCTTTGATTCCCCTCCTGATCAGGGATCTACCTATCTGTCTAGATTAAATAGATACAAAGAGAAGTGAGGTTGAAGTCAAAGGGAATGGGAGGAAAGCACATCATTGGCTGGAGTCACACCAAGCCTAACAGATGATGCTTAATTGCTAGTCAACTCAGCCCTAGGACGTCTCTGAAGGAGCTCCTCAGGGTGTGCCCTAGACCCAACCATCTTCGGCTGCTTTTATCAATAAGCCATAAAGTCAGAAATGGGGATTTTCACTGATGATTACACAGCGCACAGCGCCATTCACAATTTCTAGGATAATGAAGTCGACTGTGTCCACGTGCAGGACAATCTGAACAACATTCAGGCCAGGCCTGATAAGTGGCAAGTAATATTTGTGCCAGACAAGTGACGGGCAATGACCAGCTACCGACAGAGAGAATCTAACCATTGCCCTATTGGGGCAGTGATAATGGCCATCGGTGAGTCCTCCACTACCAACATTCTGAGGATTACTATTGACCAGAAACTCAACCACACCAGACTGTGGCTACAAGAGCAGGGCAGAGACTGGAGATTCTGTGGAGCATAACTTGCCTCCTGACTCTCCAAAGCTGATCCACCATCCACAAGGCACAAGTCAGGAGTATCACGGAATACTCCCCACTTGCCTGGATGAGTGCAGCTCCAATGCCAGCCTGCTTGATTAACACCCCATCCACCACCTTCAACATTCACTCCCTGATCGTGTACACACTGTGAGAGCAATGTGTACCAGTTACAAGATGCACCACAGCAATGTGTACCAGTTACAAGATGCACCACAGCAGTGTGTACCAGTTACAAGATGAGCTAAGGTTCCTTGAATACCTTCCAGACAGACAAGCTGTACCACCTAGGATGACTAGGGTAGCAGAGAGACCACCACCAATTCCACGTTCCCCTCCAAGCTACACACCAACAGTTACACTCCTATTAAAGCATCTTGGGATGCTTTACTACCATTAAGGTGCTATATCAATGCAAGTCTTGCTCTCACACGCTCTCTCCCACTCTCTGTCTCTCTGGTACCTGACCCTATCTGTGAGATTCAGTGATATTCTAAGGAAGTGCCCAGTGAGCTGGTCCTACACTTGCGTCTGATCAACACACTCTCACCCACGAAAGCCAGCCTCCTGGCAATGTGAATCACGTGGGGCTTGTATCCAAGTAGGAATGCTGATTAGCTATCCTTTTAAACTCCCAGTTTCCTTCTAGTGTGAAACTAAATGGACAGATTTTGTAAACTAAACTAACAGCTCATGAGCTGATAGCTCATGGGACTTTCGAGACTGACTGACAGTCTATCCACTGCCAGCCCAGGTATTTTAGGTGTGGAAAAAAAAAGCTTTTAATCTTCTTCCCAATGCAATCATTTGGGGCTTTAATCTTTAACAGCCAACATGTTGCAAGGTCTGTGTTAGCCCAGTTCGGATTAAGTTACACAACCCCTTCATTTGTCCATTTTTCTCCTCAATTTAAGACACCATTCCAGAATACAGCCACCTTATAAAACCTTACGACTGAGACGATATATTTTGAAACTGGTCGGTATGTTCTTTGCCCCACAGACACTGCTTCCTGCAGCAAGCCTCTTGCAGCTGAATGGTGTTCGAGACGCCTGTTGTAAGTTCCTTCTGAGCCAACTTGATCCATCCAACTGTCTGGGAATCCGAGGATTTGCTGATACACATTCCTGCAGTGACCTGCTCAAATCTGCACACAAGTATGTGCTCCAGCACTTTGTGGAGGTTTCCAAAACTGAGGAATTTATGCTGCTGCCACTTAAACAGGTATTGGTTAAAGACCGGGTTTGAACTTGCATGTGGTGCCAAGGTTTAAGTGCAGGAACAGCACTCCTCCCCCTGTCCTTAGATTACCCTTGTAATGCATTTTCATTCCTTCCTGTCGCAGAACATTATTCCATCCCTTTTTGATGCATACAACTGTTACGCCCTCAAAGAATTCGCGAGAGGAAAGTTTGCTGGCAAAATAGAGACAGGCTAAAGGGGCATAGTGACAAAAAGGGTAGCGTTTTTCCAAGAGTTGGCACATGCACGATGGGCAGAATAGCCTTTTTTTTTTGGTGCTGTATTGTTCAATGAATTATAAAATGGACTCTGGCTGCCCATTTTGCTTTACTCAGCTGCTGGCCCTTAAGCAGTTTCCATTCAGATTCCTGTTGTCGTCATCGGCAGTCCCTCACAGATGAGGATGACTCCCTTCCACCCTCAGGGTGAGGCTGTAGGTGGCCGTACATACCCATGGGGCTCCCGCAGGCTCTGTTACACTTGGGACGGAAGGCAGTCACAGGAAGTGGTGGGTGGGGGTGTCGGTGTGGCAGTACGGTCCTTACACTGTTTTCCCCTGGCTTCCACTTCTTCCCAACGGCAAGTCTCGAGGGGCTCAATGCCTCCCCGGATGCACCTCCTCCACTTTGGATGGTCTTGGGCCAGTGGTTCCCAGGTGTCTGTGGGAATGCTGCACTTCCCCAGTGAGGCTTTAAGGATATCACAGAAGCTGTACTGAATCTCTGTCTCTTGTTTGGTTGTCACCTTCTGTGAGATGTTTTCAGTCTGTTCAGGATGCTCTAAAAGCCACAGGGACTACACATCCAATTCGACTTGCGTGTACCTAAATAATCCAGGTCCAGATTTGGAAAGAACTCCTCAGTCCATAGCAATAGTAAAGCAACCGAAAGAACTGCGGATGCTGCAAATCAGGAACAAAAACAGAAGTTGCTGGAAAAGCTCAGCAGGTCTGGC